AATACCCAGGGAAATGATGGATACTTGTTTCCTAGGGATCCTCAGGCCAAATCTAGCCCATAGTCTGTTTTGCTTGGACTGCAGAGCGTTTTAAACTTTTCACACTTAAGTACCCAGTTTCCCACAGCCCCCAGCACACTCTGTGATGTCCACCCGAGCCCTCTTCTCTCTGTTACCTGCCTGACCCCCGTGGGCACTGGAGTCTGCAGCCCCTGCCTCAGCCAGCTTCCTGCACTCTGTTCTCTCTCAGCCAGATTTCCTGGGGAGAGCTGGACAGTAGACAACCTACTAGAGGTGAGAGGTCAGAGGGTGCCCTAGACTGATAATGGAAGATATATGAGCACATTTTGGAAGTCAGACATTCCATTAGGAAAGCCGAGATACCCACCTGATGACCGTGTCAGCCTAGAAGGTCTCCATCGCCCACCACCTCTTTAAATGAGAGTGTTTCTGTCTCGCCAGATGTTTCCCTGGTGGTAATTTTGTGGAACTAGTCATTGAAAGCTGCCCATGCTGTCCTTCCCGAATAGCTATTTCCTCATTAATTCACAGCACGCGCTCACTCTGTGCCTCCACTAAACAGAGAACACATCCATATAAACATGTAAAAGAGCGCTTTGAGAATCGACTTTTCTGACAGTTGGCAAATAGTAGCCTGCCATCCTGCAATTGGATGATTGAAGCCGAGTTCCCGTGGTATATCGCAGGCTTGATGGTTCTTGTTCTAAATTGCTACGGAAACCTCCGTAACTTGCTGAACTAGAAATTTAGTTAGAGCTTACTCACCTAGCTTTCAGGAAGGCAGAGGGGGGCAGGGGTGAGAATAAGTATAAGTGGGCACCCTTTGGGGTTTCAGGTCCCATACTCCAAGAACAGACCAGAAGCCACAGAAAAATGGAAAATGACCTAGGGGTGAAACCAACAGACCCCGTTTTTTTCTGATCAGGTTTGTTGTCAGAATACCATCAGAGAGCAGTGCTGCCGTGGGAGAACTGTACCTGCGTTTGTTCAGTTATTAATCGCAGAGTAATTGGTGAGTGCCTACTATGTGCCAGGCACCTGCTAGGCCCTTGGGCAAGACTGGCAGGGCCTCTGCTGTTTTGGAGCTTCACTTTGAGTAGGGGAGACAATAAATAAGTAAAAAAGGTGATAAGCAAGACCATTTCAGAGACAAGGAAATAAAATGGGGCGATGGGATAGAGAAAGGGCCGATGGGGCAGGAGCTGCCCTAAAGAGAGTGGTCAGAGACGGTCTCTGAGGACAAGGAGGAGCCAGCCCTGCAGGTATCTGAGGAAGATCATTCCAGGCAAGTGCACAGGTCCTCAGGGGAGAATGAGTTAGGCAGGATCAAGAAGCAGGATCAGACCAGTGTGTTGGAGCGGAGTGAGTGGGAGCAAGGGGGAGCATGATAGGAGCTGGGGTCAGAGAGGTCGGCAGGGCCCAGGTCTGTTGTGTAGGCCTCGTGGGCCCCTGAAAGGCATTAGGATTTATTCTTGGAGTAGTAGGAAGTCATTGGGAAATTTTAAGCAGGGGGATGCCATGATCCAGTTTAAAAACAGTCTCTGGCTGCTGTGTAGAAATGGAATACTGGGGGGGGGCAAGTGCAGAGGGGAAGAAGAGAGACCGGTTAGGAAACTGCGGTTGTGGTCTCAGGAGAGACTATGGTGGCCACGCTGGGGAGGCAGCAGTGCATTCTGGGAAAAGTCAGATTTGGGATGAGTTTTGGAGGGAGAGCCACTGGACTTGCTGACAGATGGACATGTGAGTGAGTGAGAGCAAGAGGACTCCAGGAGGACTCTGAGGTTTCTGGCACATGGTTGGTTGGTGGAACCATTCCTGAGATGGGGGAAGTCCCCGTCTGGGGAAAATGAATTAAGGATTTCATTTTTGGCATGTTGAGGTTGAGATGTCTGATAGATGTGCAGTAAGAGAGGTCAGCAGCAGTCATTCGGGGACTGGTGGAGAGGACAGCATTGGAAATGAAAATAATTGGGAGTCACCAACACAACGGTTGTATTTAGAACCTTGAGCTTGGATGAGACGACCTAGTGAAAGAGTATAGAAAAGTCAGAAGGCCCAGGTGGAACCCTGGAGCAACCCAACCTTCAGAGGCCCAGTTGAAGAGGAGGCACCAGCAAAGGAGCTGCAGAAGTGCAGCCACGAGGCAGGAGGAAAGTCAGGGGGGCGCAGAGCCACGGAAGCCCAGAGAAGACAAACTACCAAGGAAGAGGAGCGGCCGACTGTGCAAATACTGCTGAGCGGCTGCGCCACCTGGCAACATCTGAGAATTTCCCGTTGGATTTGGGAACGTGTGGGACCCTAGTGGGCAACTGTATGATCTAATGTCCAGACCAGGACACTTTGAGAGTGAAGGGGGTGCTGTTACTGGTTGATTACACCAGGATGACTGGTGTAAACAAACAAGGAAGCGTCATCCTCCTCGTTACTGGGGCCCTTGGCAGGGTGGGCTCTAGGGTGAAGGGAGACAAAGCCTGGCTGGAGGGCTTGAGAAATAACAGGAAGAGAAGCAGTGGAGACAAGAGCTCTCAAAGAGGCTTGCTGCACAGGTGAACGGATAAGCTGTGGGGCTCCCATGCAGTGGAATACTCACAGTAAAAAGGAATGGTCTGTTGATTCACACAACAACATGGATGAATCTCAGGATAATTATGGTGAGTGAAAGAAGCCAGGCAAAAAAAAAGTACATACTGTATGTTGTTAGCTGCCATGGAGTCAGCCCCCAACTAATGGCGACCTCATGCACAATGGGATCGGAACGCTGTGATGCATAGGGTTTTCATTGGTTGATTTTCTAAAGTAGATCACCAGACCTTTCTTCCTAGTCTGTCTTAGTCTGAAACCTGTTCAGCATCGTAGCAACATGCAAGCCACCACTGACAAGTGGGTGATGGCTCTGCATGAGGTACATTGGCCAGGAATTGAACCTGGGTCTCTGGCACAGAAGATGAGAATTCTACCCTTGAACCACCACTGCTCCCCTACATACTATATAATTCCATTTATATAAGAATTCTAGAAAATGCCAAACTAACCTATAGTGACAGAAGGCAAATCAGTGTTGTCTGGGCATAGAGGAAGAAGACAGGGAAGGGAGGGATTGCAAAGGGGCACGAGGAAACTTTTGGGGCTGTGGACATGTTCATTATCTTGATTGTAGTGATGATTTCATGGGTGGATACACATATTCAAACTTAAAACCAAATTATATGCTTTAAATATGTACAGTACAAGGTATATATTATACTCCTTGATAAAGCTATACAAAAAAAAAAGTTTTGCTATAAGAGGAATAGACAAATGGGACAAAAGGAGGAGGAGGTATGATTTTATTCTAAGCACGAACAGAGAAGCATTGAATACCTGCATGATATAGGACAGAAAAGCTAGACAGGGACTGTTTTGTGAAGGTTACTGTATGTCATGCCAGGGAGTTTGGAATTCATCCCATCGGCCCGAGGGTCTCTACCTTAGTGTGCAAAGGAATCATCTGGAGAACCTGTTACAAATGCAGAGATTCCCTAGCAGGTCCCCACTGGAGACCATCACATCCTGCAGGCTCACCTCTGATTGCAGGTGGAATGGTACCCTTGGCACGTGGACTGCCCTGCCTCAGGTGCTCAGCTTGTGCACAAGTGTCTTAGGCTGTGTTCTCCAGAGAAGCAAAGCCAGGAAAGCATATAAATATATAGAGAGAGATTTGTATCAAGGAAATGGCTCATGCAGTTGTAAAGGCTAGAAGGTCCCAAGTCCATGGATCAGGCTGGAGGCTTCTCCTGATTCACGTAGCCGCAGGGGCTGGCGAACCCAAGATCAGCAGGTCAGACAACAGGGCTCTGGCTCACAGGTTGCTAAGACCAATGAATCCCAAGATCGGCAGGCAAGATAGCAGGTAAGCTGCTTGCTCAAGTCCCAAGAACCGGAGGTCAGACGAACAGGAGCCAGCTGCAAGATCCAGAGCAAGCAAAAGCCAGAAAGTCCACCTATATTGGATGCAGGCCACACTCCCAGGGAAACTCCCTTTCAGCTGATTTGCTGCTCCCAACAGATCTCATGAGGTGATCACATCATTATACGACTGCCAGACTACAACATAACTGCCAAACCACTGAGAATCATGGCCCAGCCAAGGTAACACACAACCTTAACATCACAACAAGGCAAGGCAGAGGGGACATGGGGCGAGTCTGTGCCCCTGGGGGCAACCTTCACACACAGGGGATGGCAGTCAGTGGATAAATGCCCCAGCCTCTGGAAGGACATTGCTGAGGTGCGTTCTACGTGGTTCCTCAGAGGGCCCCAGTGGGTGGAGTCCCAGTTGCCCACAGCAGTAAGCAGCTCAAACACTTTGGGGGTTTTCTCCTGCCCTGTCTTGCTCTCCCCACTCCCTCTTGGACTCACCTGCCAAAATAACCTACCTGCACCCAAGTCCTTGTCTCAGGCTCTGTTTTCAAGGGATCCAAAATATGATACACATGAGCCCAAGGAGTCTGCACATTATGTGCATGGCAGGCTTTTCTGACACAGACAGCCCCAGAGCTGTCCTTTGAGAATGCTGCATAGGCAGTGGAAAAAAAAAAAAACACTGAAGGATTTTACAAAGGGAAGTGACTGGACTGAATTTGCTCTTTTAGAAAATTAACTCTGGTGGCAATGTGAAGTTGAGGTTGAAGCAGCAAGAGACAGGAAGCAGGAGACCAATTAGTAGGCTGTTAGAAACGTCCCAGCAGGAGGTAATGACAACGAAGGCAGCAATTGAGGCCATCTTTCGTGGAAGTGCTTTGATTTATAGCGTTCGTAACAGTTCACATAGAAACGGGCCTGAGTCTTCTATAACATCTCCAGTGCTGTAGTTATGTAAACCTCACGTTTCTAGCATTGCATGTTTTTCTTTTTGGTGTCTTCTACTAATAAAATTTGATACAGCCATCTGATGCCACACATCATCATCATCTTCTTTTTTTTGTATCTTGTGGTTTCAGGATCTTGACATTGGTGCCAAGAACGTGAAGCTGTATGTCAACAAAAACCTCGTCTTTGATGGCAAGTTAGACAAAGGTGCTGACCAGGGCATCTCAGTGGACCTGAAGAATGAGAAGAATGGGGGGATGGAGAACGCCGTTAACACTCACTCGGAAGAGAGCAAAAATGCCCGCAAGTTGGCCGCCACAGATGGGGACGGAGAGCTCAGTCTCAATCACTCGCTGCCAGCTGGAGCGTTTTTGGATGTGAAGGTGTCTTCACAAGAAAATTTATTTGGTGAAAGGATGAATTCTACTAATTGCACAAAGGACAATTTGTCCAAGTTAGGGGGAGATTTAAGAATGTTAGCAGCCCCCGTCTTGCTGGATGACGTTCCCAGTGACCCTCCCCACTCCTCACCTGTGAAATGCCCTTCTCTTGACGAGGAGCTCTGTCTGATCCAGCAATTGGAAAACCTCACGGGCAAGATTTCTCAGCCGCCAGGGAAAACCCCATCCTGGTTACAGCCTTCTCCCAAAGGGAAAGGCAGGAAGCCAAAACCCCTCTGGCTTAGTCCCGAGCAGCCGCTGGACTGGAAAGGCCAGCTTCCATCAGAGGATGGTGTTGGTACGGGTTCTGGAGAGACTGAGGCCGCAGATCAAGGCCCCAGGCGTGAGCAAGGGTGGATGAGCAGCAGGAGCGTCATCACCAGCGACAGACCCCAGAGGGTAACCCCCAGAGCCTGCAGGGACGACTTAGACATCTTTAAGCTGCCGTCCAGCAGAGAGCGCCCTACAAGTGGCAGGAGGAGCTCCAGGAAGGATGCCCTCAGCAGTAGTCATGGGGATGACCAGCCCACCAGTAGAGGTAAGCTCCCCGAAGCCATCTGAACTCAGGTGCTATCATCCTTGTGCAAGGGCCTCTAATGGGCATGAAGCCGTTAGCGTCCTGGACCTCAGTTTCCTCATCTGCAGAACAAGGGGGTTGTTCTCAACCAGGGGTCACAAATTTGCTGTCTCAGGGGCCAGAGAAGGAACATAAATGAGTGAGATGAGCAAGCCACACTTTGCATGTTAAACTCATAGATACATTTGTCGTTGCCATGAACACATGTCCCTTTGCCCAATTTTCTTGTAATACCTGGCTTTTTCAATCTAGACTTTATTATTCCTCATTTGAAAAGACATCAGTACCCAAATTACTCTACTTTATTCTTAACTGCACCATTAAAAAAACCGAAGTATGATGATAAATAGTAATTGACATTTTCCTGAGTGTCAGAAGGACAATAGGGAGTGGTGAGGCCTGTGGCAAACTGGAGAACACAGGCCATGTAAAGGAGGCAGCTGCTACTGCACTCAGGCTTCTTGTTGGCATTCAGGAATGCAAGGCCAGTGTGCTAGCTCTTCCTTTCCTTTTTTAAGAAAAGCCAGAAGTGTGGAATATTCCTATTTTTCAACATTGGCAACTGATTCAGATTTAAACTACTGTGTGGGTAAAAAGCAGGAACCCTGGTGGCACAGTGGTTAAGCATTCAGCTGTTAACCTGAAGGTCGGTGGTTCGAATCCACCAGCTGCTCTGTGGGAGAAAGATGTGGCTGCTAACCAAAAGGTTGGCAGTTGAGCCCACCAAGTTGTGGCAGTCTGCTTTCTTAAAGTTTACAGCCTTGGAAAGCCTATGGGGCAGTTCTACTCTGTTCTATAGGATCACTGTGAGTCAGAATTGACTCGACGGCAGCAGGTTTGGTTTGGCCTTTTGGTGAGTCAAAAAAAATGAATGAATGAATGAAAGAAAAAAAAACAATAACACATCTGCTGGCAGGGCTACCCTTGAGAGCTTTTGGAAGAGTCAGTTATTTCTAAGGACCTTTCCAATCTGAAATGAGGGCACCAAAGGCTGGGATTCTGAATATTTGCACTCAGATTTGGTTACTGGGAAGGAGTGCAGCATAGTATCTGGGAGTCAAGCCATTTGAATCCAAACTCTGCTACTTACAGATCTGGGGCCTCTAGCTGGGCACTTCCACTTTCTGCGTCTCGGTGTCTTCATCTGCAAAATGGGAACAAAAACCCTCTTTCTCAGGGATGAATGGGATGATGGCTTCAAAATAGTAACACAGAGCCTGCACATGGACAGTGTTGAGCACGTGGAAGCCATTATTTCAACACTGGCATATACATCCCTTACCATCCACAGAGCATTCACACCTAGCAAGCCAGGGCTAGATCCTCAGAATTTCACCCCACACTACACAGAAGCAGACAGTCTGGAGTCACAATGCTCAGGTGTGTATCCTGGCTCCACCATCTCCAACCCACACTTTGGGCAAGTTCTGGAACCCTTCTGAGCCTGTTTCCTCATCTGTAAAGCAATACTAATAATACCCATCTCATAGCAGTGTTGAGAGGATCAAATGCGATAATAATGTACAGCATTTGGCACAGTACCTGGCATATAGGTGCACCCAACAGATACCCACTCTGTTACCCTACCTCTTGGTGTTGTATCTATATGCAAAGCAATATATGTATTTTTTTATGAATCATATTAGCATATACTCTATTAATGTCTAGTAGACAGACCCCAAAGGTCAGCATTCAGCCCCAGTCTACATTTAGAAATGTGGAGAGTCCGTGGCCTCTTTCAGACCCCTGATAGGTCACGGAGGATGCCAGAGCAAGGCCCCCAGGCTCCTAGTGCCGGGAGGGCCTGAATCACTGCCTTCCTGTGGTGAGTGACGGGCTGCTGTTTCCCAGCAGAGCTGGCCCTCCAGCTCCCTAGCCTTACACATTTCTGCCCCCAACCCCTGCCAAGACTGAACACTGAGACTGAGTATCAGGGAGGAAAGCCAAGTGGGAGAGAAGACCAGAGAAGCTCTCTAAGGACAGGGACCCTGTCTATTCACATCAGAATCCCTAGGGCCCAGCCTCATGGAGGCCCGTGCCATGTGGGAGGAGGGAGTGCAATAAGCCACACTCTGGTTCGGGCACACTACCCAAATGAACTCCTTTCATCCTCACGACAGCCCCATTTTACAGATAAAGAAAACACGAGATTTAAGTAACTTTCCTGGGGTCACACAGCCAGTAAGGGTCAGAGGGGAATTAGAACCCAGCTGTCCTGCCATTAAATAAGATCCCAGTAGTTTTCTTGCATCCTCTTCTCCTGGTCCTGCAGCCTAACCTCTGGCAGACGGAACTTCCCATATGGTTGTCGAACCACTACCCCGTGGTGCCCTGTCACCACAGTCACTGTCAGCCACTTGCCCCCAGAGAGCCAGGCAGTTACGAACTTTCCTGGTAAACAGACCTGCAGGGCCTCTGGGAGTTTTGAGGTGATGGGCATTTTTCTAGCTTGCCAACGTTCAGAAGACTTTGTTTCACTTTCATCTCTTCCCAGGCATTTCACTGCTTGGCTCAACGACACATTAAGAACCAAGCTTTTGGGATTTAATGCTTGTTAAGCTAGTCATGCTAAAAAAGGAAGGTTGCTTAGAAATGTTTAAGTTGCCCATTACACAGACTCAAATCCCATAGCCAGGCCCTCCAGAAAAGGTGCAAGTCGAGCCCTCCAAGGATGCTGCAAATGAGAGACTGCCTGCGTCCTTCCCTGGGCCTGGAATGGTAGTGTTGCTGTAAGAGAGCCTGCAAAAACCCTTTAGCCAACAGAGCCTCTTATTGCGATGACAGCCGCATCTGGGAAGCATCCTTGTCAGGGATCATTTGACTACAGGTGGATGGAATCTAGTTAGCCCAGCTTGAGCAGTAACCAAAGAAACCAAACCCATTACCGTCGAGTTGATTCCAACTCATAGCGACCCTATAGGATGGAGTAGAACTGCCCCATAGGGTTTCCAAGGCTGTAATCTTTACAGAAGCAGACTGCCACAAATTGGTGGGCTCAAACTGCCGACCTTTTGGTTAGCAGCTAAGCGCTTTAACCACTGTGCCACCAGGACTCCTCTTGAGCAGCAAAGGGGTTTATGGAGCTCCTCAGCCCCACAGACAGGAGGTGTGGCTGCTCATTGCAGGGACTGAACAAGGAACCAGAAAGCCGGTAGGAACCAAGGGACCTTTTCCCTGTCTCTCTAGGTCTGCTGGGTCCTGCCTCTGCTTCTCTGCCTGTCCGCTTCCCTCATTCTTCCTGCCAAGACCAGCTTTTTCTGCTCTGTTCACACAGCAGAGAATGTCCTCACAACCCTAGAGGGACACTATTTCGCGACTCTAGCTCCAGTAACCAATTCTAAAGTCCCAGGGGAGAAGCTGATTGGCTTCCTCAGGTCAGGTGACCATTCCTTGTCTAGTCAGCTATGGCTGAAGAGCAGCTCACCTAGAATAAACATGTCTGTTATAAATATGTACTTTTTAATCTCCTGTTTCAGTAGCAATTAACTTGTGCCTCATGGTGGTGCAGTGGGTTTTTATAAACGTAGGTTCAGAACTTCATAGTTTATATTAGTCTCAACTAAGGTATATTTCTGAATCTTTGATCCTATCTAATAACTGGTGTCCCTCCCAGATTTATGTTGACTACATATTGAAGAGGAGCCCTGGTGGCACACTGGTTAAGCACTTGGCTGCTAACCTAAAGGTCAGCAGTTCGAACCCACTAGCTGCTCCACGGAAGAAAGATGTGGCAGTCTGCTTCTGTGAAGATTTACAGCCTTGGAAACCCCACAGGGCAGTTCTGCTCTATCCTGCAGGGTCACCATGAGTCGGAATCAACTCAACAGCAGTGGGCTAGTGGGGCTCAGTACTGAAGCAGCAGCTTTCTCTTGTTTGTTCAAATATGTGCATAGAAATCTTGACAAAGACAGGGCCAAGGACTGATCCCAACTGCTCCCCAGGCTCCAAAGGAGTAGTGAGTAGTGTGTTTTCCTGAAGACAGAGAGAAACACAGGGCCTAGGCCTGCTGCCACATCTGAGAGGTCCACAGGCAAGTTTACACTCCTCTGCTTTTACAACCCGGGCTGTAGAACTTGGAGAGAACAGATCTGAAATCAGATGCAGAATGAGAGCCTAGGCCCTGACTTCCTTGCACACCCAGACAGAGAAACACAGGTGAGGCCCTGACACGTGACATTTGGCATCTTATCCTCGGTGTGCTTGCAAACCAACCCAGCCATTCATTTCAGTCAACAGAAATCCAATCACATACACTGAAGCCATGGCAATCCATATGGGAAGTTCTAGCTGCCAGATGTTAGGCTGCAGGACTGGGAGGAGAGGATGGAAGAAACCACTGGGATCTTTTTTCATGGCAGATGAGAAGGAGAGGAGAAGACAGGTGCAGGAGAGCTGACAGGTGGAGGAGAGAGTCCCTCAGCCTCTAGACCTGGACCCCAGGGCACATAGTAGTGGTGCCAACCATTCATCCATTCACTCAGCAAACATTTGTTGAGCATTTCTGTGCTGGGCACCAGGGACACAGCAGGGAACAGGACACACAAGATCCCTGCTCTCTGGGAGCTTCCATTTCTGGGGGGAAACAGACAATGAAGACAATAAATTAGGGTATTGTGATGGAGTGATGGGGAGGGTGGAGTGGGAAGGGGCGGGACTTCAGAGAAGGTGGTCAGAGAAGCCACTCCAAGGAGATGGATGACAACTAGCCAGCTAAGTGGGGACCTGGGAGAAGAGCTTTCCTGGCAGCAGGTACAGCGAGGGCCAGGGCCCTGAGGCAAGAAGAGGATTGGCGTGTCTGTGGAGTGACAGGCCGGCGTGCCTGGGGCAGAGTGAGCGTAGGGGCAAAGGGTGTGCGATGAGCTTGGAGAATCAGCAGAGCCACATTCAGGGCCTTGTCGGCATAGTAACCAAAAAAACCACGCACGTGGCTGTTGAGTTGATTCCGACTCATAGCAACCCTATAGGACAGGGTAGAACTGCCCCATAGGGTTTCCAAGGAGCGGCTGGTGGACTTGAACTGCCAACCTTTTGGTCAGCAGCCAAACGCTTAACCACTGGCGCCACCAGGGCTCCTGTCGGCATGGAAAGGAGTCTAATTTTATTATTCTCAGTGTAGTAGAAATGATGCCAGTTGGAGGGCTTGATGACAAACTTGTTTAGATACATGGAGTTTGAAGTGACAGAGACACATCCAGGTGGACATGTCTAAGACGTCGTTGGAATTAGAAGATGGATCCTGGGGGAAAAAAGTGGAACTTGGTGGATAGAATTGAGGAGTGCCTGCATGGGAGCTGGGAGCTGGGTGAGGCCAAGAGGGATGGCAGTGTCGGGAGAGGACTGAGTGGGGCTGGGATTTAAGCCTTGGAACGCACCCAGACTTAGGTGTAGGGAGGATGGGGCTGGTGTGGTAAAAAGAGAAGGAGCTGCCCGCAGGGGAGGTAGAAAACCAGGAAGGTATAATGTTGCCTATGCCAGCAGAGGGAATGTCAAGTGGACAAAGTTTGCCTGGAATGTCAAGGCTCATGGAATGAGGACTGAGAACAGATTGGGAAGTCATTGGCCATTTGGAGAAATCCATTTCATTGGATGATTGTGGGAATTGTAGGAATATTATGGATGTAAGGGCCAAAAAGCCACCAGGGGTTTGACTTCAGGCATGGCTAGATCCAGAGGCTCAAAGGATGTCACGGGGAATCTCTCTCCATCCCTCAGCTCATGTTCCCTATGTTTGCTTCATTTTCAGCAGGCTCTCCCTACATGGTAGCAAAACGGCTACTGGCAGCTCCATGCCTACATCCTACCAGCTTAGCCTCGCTGGTTTAAAGACAGCCCCCCCTTTCCCACGGCTCCTTTCATGGGCACACCTTGAGGGATGCTGTTAGCATTCACCCAGTTTGGATGGACTGAGGATGGGGGGATCCCCAAAGAAAGTCAGGGTGCATCCCCAGGAGAAGGGGAAGTGGCCTCTGGGTGGGCAAAACAACATCATTACAAGACAGGAGTCACATTGCAAAGAGTTGAGAGCAGGCAGTGGTGGTGAAAGGTGTAGAATGTCTGCAGAGAAAGGACGAGAGAAAATAGGATGGTGGTTGGTGGAGACTGCAAGAGGGGGTAGGCTTCCTTTTTTCCTTTCTTTTTTTTGGAGTCCTAGTGGCACAATTTTTAAAGCACTCAGCTGCTAACTGAAAGATTGGTAGTTGGAACCCGCCAGCCACTTCATGGGAGAAAGATGTGGTGGTCTGCTTCTGTAAAGATTACAGCCTTGGAAACCCCATGGGCAGTTCCTGCTCTGTCCCGTAGGGTCGCTATGAGTCGGAATTGACTCGATGGCAACAGGTTTTTTTTTTTTTTTTTTTTTTTTTTTTTTTTTTTTTTTTTTTTTTGGTTCTTTTCTTTTAGGTAGGAGAGATTTATGCATGTCTGCAGGCAGGCAGAGAGGGGATGGTACCAGTGGGGAAGGAGTGATTGAAAATTCTGGAGAGAGGAGATAATTGATGGCACCAGACCCCCAGGAGACAGGCAGAAAATGGAGTGCAGGGCACTGTACGATATGGAAGGAGAAAAAACAGAATGTCAGTGTCATCAGCTGCTGTTTTTCCAGAATGACACCTCTTAGATGGTGGTTAGCCATGGTGTGGCTGTGAAGACAGGCCACTGCTTAATGCGCTCACCAGGGCCTTTATATTCTACACGGAGAGCAGGGCCTTCAGGGCCATCCCTTCGCTGGCCAGGCCACATTCTTGAGATGCTAAGGACAGAGGCTTCCGTCCTTGGAGACAATTTTAGCCACAAGAAGAAGTGAATTCCTTACTGTCATAGTTACCTAGTGCTGCTGTAGCACAAATACCACATGTGAGTGGCTTTAAAGGGCAGACATTTATTTTCTCACAGTTCTGGAGGCTAAAAGTCCAAATCAGGGTCTTGGCAGTGTTGACTCCTTCCTTGTTAGTAGCCCCAGGCGTTCCTTGGTGCTCCTTGGCTTGTACGTGATCCTCACATGGTATCTGTCTTCCCCTGTGTGTCTCTGTATCTGTTCTGCTCTTTTTTTCACTTAGAGTGATTAGATTTAGAACCCACCCTACTTGGGTATGACCTAATTAACATAACAAAGAAAACTTCATTTCCGAACAGGTTCATATTTAAAGTATAAAAAGCCAAAATCAAATCCGTTGCTGTCAAGTCAGTTCTGACTCATAGCGACCCTATAGGGCAGAGTAGAACTGCCCCACAGGGTTTTCAGGGAGCGGCTGGTAGGTTCAAACTGCCAACCTTTTGGTTAGCAGCCAAGCTCGTGAACACTACGCCATCAAGGATCCTCATTTAAAAGGTGTAGGGGCCTGGATTTCAATGCATATTTTAAGAAGACATAATTCAGCCCATACCCTTACCTTGTAATTATACCTGGGTCATTTGCTTTTTTTAATAGCATGTTTTTCCTGATTATAAAAGTAATACCAACTCCATCTAGGGAACTTAGAAGAGACAATTACAAAGAAGAAAATAAAAGCCCCTCATATTCACCACTCAGAAATGGTCAGTATTAACACATTGATGCATGTCACCCATATAGGATATGCTGTGTCTAAAATTGCATAGCCGGGTGTTTTCTATTTAGCATTCTTTCACGAGCATCCCACCTGCCACTAAGTAGTCTTTGAAAACACTGTTGGAATCACATGACTGTGACGCCTCAAATGCTGACGCTGAGCTGCTGACTCAGATGCCAGGGCAGCAGCATTGCTACCAGTGAGGTGAGTTTCCAAGGTGGTGAACGACTTCTGGTAAAGTTCCTAGCAAAACAAAACAGTCTTCCCTTGATTTGCATGGTAGTTGCATTCTTCAAAAATTCTATGTATATTAAAAAATACTTTGTGTGGTGTAAAACAGCCAGGTTCTAGACTTAGTCCATCATAAACCATTTTCTTTACTGACCTGAACGTCCAGCAGGACGGTCCGAAGTTGTGTGAGACTCGAGACCGTGCTTGGTTGACTCACTGTCCCATGCCCAAAGGACATCAGCATACCTGCCTCCACCCACCAAGGGCTAGCAGAGCCTCCCTTGGCACTGAGACAGCCAAGAACAACCCCACAGGTTTCCAGAATGACCCCTGGAGGGTGACCCTGCCCAGCTGAGAGCCGCTGGATAAGATGGTCTCGTGTGTCCTTTCTTCCAGAAGACGCCGTGTCCACCCCGATGCTGCCGCGGTCCCGGTGGCACAGCGAGCAGGAGCACATGCTGCATGAGTCATGGAACTCCCTCAATGCCTTCGACCGTTCCCACCGGGGGCGCATCTCCAACATGGAGTACCAGGGGGACATCCTGGATGAGTTCCTGCAGCAGCAGAGAAGCAGCCGGCAGAGCAACCTGCCACCCCCCGGGAAGGAGAAAAAGCCAGAGCTGCTGCAGGGACAGGACGACTGCTCCGTAGACACAGACGATGGCAGTGACTTTAAAATCCCAGTCTTGCCTTATGGACAGCACTTGGTCATCGACATCAAGTCAACGTGGGGGGACCGACACTATGTCGGCCTTAATGGAGTAGAAATCTTCACTTCCAAGGGGGAGCTGGTGCAAATCCTGAACATTAAAGCAGACCCCCCTGACATCAACATCTTACCAGCATATGGGAAAGACCCCCGTGTGGTCACCAACCTCATCGACGGGGTGAACAGGACCCAGGACGACATGCACGTCTGGCTGGCACCCTTCACACCGGGCAAGTCCCACTCCATTGCCATTGACTTCATGCACCCTTGCCAAGTCGCCCTGATCAGGATTTGGAATTACAATAAATCACGGATACATTCCTTCCGTGGCGTGAAAGATATCTTGATGCTGCTAGACACTCAGTGCATCTTTAAAGGAGAAATCGCGAAGGCCTCAGGAACCCTGACGGGAGGTACAGTATGTCTGTAAGATTGCTTTCTGAGCCCCTGCCTGTTACTCGCTGAGGCTGGGAGTTAAAAACAGACCCACTGGTGAGCCGATGACAGATAGGTCTCTCCTCTTTCACACCCCTGGTCCACTCCTCACCTTTCGCAGCCTGCATTTGTGGGAGTTGACCTCATACATCTATTTAAACCCTCAGTTAAGGGCCGGCCTTAGTCAGGTTCCCTGGAATCTAGGCCTGAGAAGAGGGATTGCTCTGCAGGTTTATTGAGGGAGTGCTCTCAGGAGAATCATGCAGGGCAGTGGGAGCTACGGGATATGGAACGGCGAGAAGCCCAACAAGGATATGGCTGCCGGGAAGCCCAGCCCAGCCTGCTCCATGGGAACTCTGGGGCATCAGGTGATGTACCCTGTGGTCAGTCAGTCATTGGCTTCCCAGAGCCCTCCAGGCCAGGCACCCTGTAAAAGGGGCTAGCAGGCATCTAGGTGGGCACCAGCAGCTTCTGCTGCAGTGTCTCATTCACACCTAAGAAATGTCACCTGTTCGATGAGAGGTCACCAATGATTCTCATTAGATTAGATCCCTTCATTAGACTTACATGGCTCTTATAGTCCCTGGATTCCATTTGCAAACACATAAAGAATAATAAGACTCAGGAATCAAGAACTGCTGGTGGTTCAGGATATTATAGCAGGAAGGTTGGTGGGTTTATGTTCTTGACCTAAAAATCACTGGGCTTTGGGGTGAGTTGACCCTCTGCCTTCCTGGTAACTCTTTCAGCCCCAGAGCACTTTGGAGACACGATCTTGTTCACAACTGACGACGACATTCTCGAGGCCATCTTCTGCTCTGATGGGACATTCGACGTGGACGTGGAGAGCCTCTGCAGCCTGCAGCACGAGGAGGCCCTGAGGAGGCCGAGCACAGCTGACGGCGAGGGCGACGCCAGGCCCTTCACCCAGGCCGGCCTGTGGGCTGACGACCCCGTAAGACTGGAGCTGGGGGCGAGAGTTCTTCTCCTGACTCACAGCAGAGCAGGAAGAACTAAGATGGATAGTCTTTAAGCTGCTGGTGCTACTGTTTTGACATTTCCCATTTTTCTACTTCATTTCTTGTCCTGTTTGTTATATTTCATACTCTAATTATTATTATTTTTTTAACCAAAGTGAAAAAAGTATTCAAATTTTAATCAAAGCCAGGAGAAGTCAGCTTTGTATCATCTCTGTAATTTGGAGGTCGGTAGTCTCGAGAATTTTTGCTGTGGGTTGCGTTTTGATCACTCCCTGTTGTTTTTGATGGGAAGATTAGAAATACTTTTAATAGGCAGACTTAGAATTAAAATAATGATCGTCACAGTTGTGATTTATGAGCATGGATTGTGATCCAGGCATGATGCACAGGCATTACCGGGTGGAACCCACATGGCAGCCTATGAGTAGAAACTAATATTCCCGTTTAGGAAACCGAGGCTCAGCCAGGTCAAGTGACTTGCCCAAGGTCACATAGTAAGAGAGTAGCAGAGTCAGACCTTGAACACAGGGCTGCCTGACTCCAAAGTCTGTGCCTTTAATTGACAGACAGATTTTTTAAAATGAAAGATGACCTTCAGGGGAAGGGTCAGTCCACAGTCAAGGACTAATAATGAAGGTAAAGAGACCACAGGGTCTCCAGGGATGTTCTTGATGCCAAAAGGAGAAAGAAGAGATGGTTATAGGGGGTGGAGGAGGAGCTGGAAGAACTGGAGAGAAGATGGGCCGGAGGTTGGCTGTGACCGAGACCGGGCAGCCACAAGGCCCCTAGATCCCACGGTGTTCACTGGGGGCCACAAACCATATGCCGCCAGGGTGGGCAGTGCCTGGTGCAGATGGCGGGGAGTGGTGGGGCCCAGCCAGCTGGGAGTGTGTGTCCCTGCCTGCTGCTGAGGAAGGCAGCTTCCCCTCTGCCCAGTTAAGAGTTACTCTCGTTATTTCTAGTTCTCCTGATTTTTCCAAGAGAGGCCAAAAGCCTGGATTTCTTATGTAAAATCCCCCAGTTTTAAAATGTTGGCAGCTAATTCAAAATGTTTCCAAACCTTTTATGGGCCATAAAACATGCCTGTGGTCTGGATTTGAGCCATGGTCTCCAGAGGGGAGTTGACCTTGTGGCATTCACCCAGCATTTTCCTTCTAAGTGAATCTCTGATGGGACCCAGTCCTGTGAGGGGCAGGGAGGGAGCACTGTCTCCACTTTAGAGATGGGGAGTCTGAGGCTGCGGGTGGGGGGTGTGCCTGGGTCTCACCACTCAGAATAGGGATGGGGCGGGATCTCCACCCCAGCTGTCTGGGATCCAGGTCTAGCGCACCCACCGGAGGGGCGCCCAGGAGGCTTCTCCTCCTCCTCCCTACCTCGGGCAGGGCCTGAAGAGGCTATCCCTTGGGGCTGGCCGTGGGGCTCATCAAGTTGTCACTGGAACTGAAACTCCACGATCTGGACAAGGGACTTCATTTCTTTTTGCATCTCAACTCTCCCATGTGTAAAATAGAAAAGGTGCTTTGGCCTTTATGCCTTACAGTGCAGTGATCTAACAGGAGAGGGTTATATGTGAGACCCTTTCCCTATTCCCAACAAGTAGGGTGTGGCAGCCCATTCTTGACTGTCTATAGGCGATGGCTTCTTTATCCTGGCTACACATGGGGATCACCTGGGAAGCTTTCAAAATGCAGATGCCTGGACCCCACCCCTAGAGATTCCGTGAACAGCTAGGGTTGAGAACCACCATCTAAATTTTAAGTCCTCCCTTCCTCTCTTCCTCCCTCCCTCCTTCACTTCCTTTCTCCCTTCCTTCCTTTTTTTCTTTCTCTTACTCACTAGGTCAACATTTTATTTGGTTATTTCCTTTCAAAGAACGTCTAAACTTCAAGCCTCTCCCCTACCAATATATTAGAACTACTGGCAAGGATTCAAACCCAGGGTTTCTGGGCCTGCCCATATTTCTAGTCATGGAGCTTCCATGAAGGCAGAAAGTTTGAGAAAAGACACAGAGACTTACCTGGGGCACAGGGTGGGCCGCCAGCCAGCTATGTGGGTGTCATTAAAATTACCCCTTTTCCTCTGCTTCTCCCCCAACTGGTGTGCAGGTCCCGGAGCCAGAGCTGTCGTCCAGTACCCCCATCCCTGAAGTCACCACGCCAGAGCCAGGCGTCTACCACGGGCTCTGTGAGTATCCTCACCAGGGGTAGTGGCAGGAGGAACTTCAGGGGCAGGGGGAGGGTCATGGCCACTGGGAACAGGGCTTTCTTGGACAGTCAGGCAGGTCGTACACTACTCAGAGACTCCAGGTTGAGGCAAGTGGGGCTGAAACCAGCTGTGCACAGCTGGCTGACCTTGGCAGGGCTACGTCACTTCAGAATTCGGGCACCTCTCTGCAATTTGCCCTCCCAGAAGGACAGTTTTGCTTTACGTGTTCACTGTGGCCCTGACCTGGGAAGCTGCAGTTGGAATCCAGAACATAAAACAGAGGCCATAAGAGCCAGAAGGGACAGAGGCATCTTCCAGTCCAGTCATTTGAGCTGTCTCTCCACACCCCACCATAGAGCAAACACAAGAGTGAAAAACCTGCTCCCACCTGCTCCAGGACTACAGACCAGGCACCAGGGCCTCTGATTTCTCAGAAGTCAGAAACCAGATTTTGATGTAAAATCCCAATTTTTATTATTATTTCTTTTTAATTGTACTTTAGATGAAGGTTTACAGAGCAAACTAGTTTCTCATTAAACAACACACATATTGTTTTGTGACATTGGTTGCCGACCCCATGACGTGTCAATACTCTCCCCTTCTCGACCTTGGGTTCCCCATTACCAGCTTTCCAGTCCCCTCTTGACTTCTCGTCCTTGTCCCTGGGTTGGTGTGCCCATTTAGTCTTCTTTTGTTTTATGGGCCTGTCTAATCTTTGGCTGAAGGGTGACCCTCAGCAGTAGCTTCATTACTGAGCTGTAAGCATGTACGGGGGCCATACTCTCGGGGTTTCTGCAGTCTCTGTCAGACCAGTAAGTCTGGTCTTTGTGTGTGTGTGTGTGTGTATGTGTAAGTTAGAATTTTGTTCTACATTTTTTTCCAGCTCTGCCTGGGACCCTCTATTGTGATCCCTGTCAGAGCAGTCAGTGGTGGTAGCCAGGCACCATCTAGTTGTGCTGGACTCAGTCTGGTGGAGGCCGTGGTAGTGCTGGTCCATTAGTCCTTTGGACTAATCTTTCCCTTGTGTCTTTGGTTTTCTTCATTCTCCCTTGCTCCAGATGGGAAAATTCTGATTTTTAAATGGTGATTAATTTTCTAATGTTAAAACACCAAATGAGCCAAACAAATCACACATTGTGTATTTGGCCAGCAGGCTGCCAGTTTTCAGCTTCTGAGTAAATCCAGTCTGGGTGTCGGCTGTGTGTTCTTCTCTCTTCATTTTCCATTTATCCTTCCAGCCAGGTCCTCTCTTAATCCACACATGTCCACATTAGTACTACTGCGTCCTGGGGAATCTCAGGCCTAAGGCCGCAGCCAACTCTGTGATCTCCTTGCTCGTTCCCTGTTAACAAGGTTCTTTCCACTCACTCCTTGTAGCATCACGTCCCTGCTCTTTCTTTCCCTGTGCATGTCACCCACTTCTAGTTATCTTCTGAACACACAGATGTGACATTGTCATGCTCCCTCTCCCACCACCCCACAGGCATCTCCAAGCCCTGGCCTTATCTCTGGCTGCACTCCTCCCCACACCCATTACCTGAACCCTTGCAGGCACGAGTGCCAGCTGTGCTGCAGCCAGCATACCCTTCCTCTCCATCTCTGCCTGCGGAAGACCCCTTGACTCTGAGATGGGGCTAGCGTGCAGGGAGCTTATTGGGGCATGCTCATGGGATCCAGACCTGTCGGGGAAGGGAAGGAAGCAGGGCTAGGCAGAGGAGAAGTTGAGCTGTGGCTGCTATGTGGTTACATCCGGGCCTCAGCACGCTCTGCAGGGAGCTCTGAAGCAGGGCTGGCCCTTTGGAATTGTCCTGAGTTGAGTGAGGGGGCTGGGCCTCAGTAGTCATGGCCTTCTGCAAGGAGGTCCTCTTCAGCCAGCGGCAGTCACAGTGAGGGGGATGTAACTGTGAACCATCAACCACCAGCACTCCCAGCCCTGGAGGAAGAAGCCCTCAGGCTTGGGGAGGAGGTGGGATCTGGCCGTGGCCCCTCAGCGTCCTTCATACCCCCTCCTTTAGGCCCCGCTGCAGTCCCAAATCCTCCCCAGGAAGTCTTCCTGTTATTCCCGTTGAAAATTCCTCTCTGCTTCACCCACTCCAAAGGAATAAATTATCTGTTAGAAAAGAGAAAGTTGCCTTATTTGAATCCTCACAGCCCGTTACATTCCAGGACACTCTCTCAGTGGATTTCAGAACACAGTAACTTAAAAAACCAGCCTAATGCTAGGCAAGAGCCTGGCTACCGGCTCAGAATCGTCTCCTGTTTAGGCTCTGTGCCAGGACCTTTCCCTGCCTTACCTCATCAAACACTCGTAACAGCCTCATAGGTCAGCTGTTATTAGCCTCATTTTCCAGTTAGGTTAGGAAATTGAGGCTTAGAGAGATTGAGTAGCCCACTCAAGGTCACACAGCTTGTGCTGGAGCCAAGAATAGGGCCAGGCGTGTCTGAATCCAGAATCCGTGTCCTCACCTCTGCCACACTGCCTTGGGGCTCTGCCTGAGGATTGCTAAGAGACTACTTCTCATCAGAGGTCTTTGTGCAAGAGTCAGATCCCACTATGCCACAAGGAAGACAGTAATCGTTTCTTGTTCAGTTTGGTCTCCCCTATATTGGTCAGGATTCCTTTTATTTATTTATTTTTAAGCAACAGAAACAATTCAAACTGAGTTAAGCAAAAAAAAAAAGGGGGGGCGGGGAATTTATTGGCTTATGCAACTGAAAAGATCAGAGTTGCTAGTTTCCAGAATGGCTGGATCCAAGTGTGCAAATGGTGTCACTAAGACTCAGCATGTCTCTCCATCTCTGCTGTTTTCCTCTCTCTTGTCTTTCTCCCATCCAGGCTCTGTCCATGAGAGAGCTCCTGGAAGCTCTGGGTTTGCATCCACCTTACACCCAGCAATCCCAGATAAAAGAGATCTTCCATTTCCCAACAGATCCAACAGTCTTCTGAGTTACTCTTCTTAGCTTAGCTCGGGTCATGGCCCATCCTTGAACCAGTCACTGTGGCTCACCGTAGCGGGGGTGGGAGGTGGGGAGGCAGCTGGGAGATAGAAAACATGACCTGTCCAGGCCTGGGTCACGTGCCACCCTGGAGCCAGGGTCAGGGATCAGCGCCTGAGCAGTGTGCACTGAGAGCAGGAAGGCTCTCCAAGGGAAATCAGAGTGCCGCCACCACAAGAAGGAATGAGTGCTGGCCAGGCAGAAGCAACCAAGGTCCCCTTCGTTTGATGGCGTCCTCAAAGATACTGCTCTGTAAATGTCTCTCCCACTGACCAGGCTCCTGACTTTTCTCAGAAATGTTATTTCAGTGCCTTGGAGAGTTTTGCCCTGGAGTGGAGCTCAGAGACCTTTTTGGTGATATGAAAGTATGATTTCTCTCCTCGTCTCGGTAGGAAGGCAGAAGGGTCTCACAGCCAAGTGTTCTGCGCTTGTTTTGAGGCCTGTGATTTCTAAATCTCTCTTCTCTGAACGCTTGGCTTTTTCCTCACTGTTTCCAAAATCCGAAACCCGCCTCAGCAGCCTGTGCAAATGGAGAGAGCTTTAATAAAGTGACCGGGGGGATGTGTTGGGATTGGTAAATACGACTAATCCTATTAATGTTTTGAAAGGGGATCTATGACTTGCTAATTTGCAGATGACGCTAATTTGCAGATGACACTAATTTTGGAAGTTTTGCAAATATCAGTGGTGGCAAATAGGAAGGGAGCTGAGAGGCTTGAAGCGCGGAGGAGAAAGAACAAAATTAATTTCCATTTGTACAAATACTAATTGATACACCAGAGGAAAACGAATATGGAGCACAGATATTAGTTCAAAAAGGAGAGCAGTCACTTTCAGAGCAGGCCCAAATTAGATATAGCACCACAGTATTTTGCCAGGCCCACAAAGTGGTGTCGGGCCCGAGACGCCATCTTGTTTGTTTTCCTAAGGGGAGGTGGCATTTCTTCCTCCACATTGATCCCTCTCATCCAAATCCAGGCTTCCTCCATCTCAGGAAACAGTATCCCGGCCACTCTGTCACTTGGATCAAAAACCTCTTTCCCTCACTTCCATATCTAGGGCATTGAGAAGTCCTGGCAATGATGCCTCCAAAACAGATCTGGAATCCATCCACTTCTCCCCCATTTTCATCACCACCACCCTTGTCCAAGCCTCCTGTAACAGCTGCCTCCTCAATCTCCCTGTAGAGTTCATCCTCCTGTCCTCCCTGCAGCAACCCAAGTGAGCTTGCTAAGATGCAGATCAGAACATGGCACTGTCCTGCTGAAAAGTGTAACCCTCCAGCAACTTCCCATTGTACTGAGAAGAAAACCCAAACTTCTGGTTGTAAGCTAGCCTCTGCCCAGCTTTCTGATCTCATTTCCTCCACCTTCTCCCCCAGTCACTTGGTTCCAGCCATGGGTCAAATTTGTTCCCATCTCATGGCCTTCGTCTTTGCTGTTCTCTCAGCATAGAAAGTTCTTCTTCCAAAAATGCAAATTCATGGTGGCCAGGTCTCAGCTCAGATGTCACCTCCTCAAAGAGGCCATCCCTGATCACCCAACCCCTACTCAGCCACTCCCCAGCCCATCTCTGTTTTATCTGTCATGGTATTCCACATGTCTGTAGAACTGTCATATTTATTTATTTGCTATGTGTATATTATCTGTCTTTGCTGAAATGAAAGCTCCTTGGGTCCATAGATTTTGGTCTGTTGTTTACCCCTGTAAACAGAACGGGACCTGGTATGTAGTAGATGATTAATAAATGTATTTTTGCCATTGACTATGGATTTGGTGAAACCCAGTGGTTTCATTTTGGTTCATTCACTTTAGGATATCTACTGAACACTTACTCTTCAATCAATCATTCATTTATTTTTTTTAAAAAAAACCAACTACATGTATTGAACACCTAATTACCAGGCACTATTCTTTTTTTTTTTTTTTTTAAATATACATATTACGAGACCCCAACCATTCACCCCGTTCTGCGACAGCACACTCCTCCCCTCTGCCCGATTCCCCACGAACATTCAACTAGCTCCTAACTCTCTCTGCCCTCCCCTCCCACCTCTGGACAGAAGCCATCCCTTTGGTCCCCCATATCTACTTGTCTAAGAGGCACATTCCTCACGAGTATCACTCCATGTTCCACAGTCCAGTCCAATCCCTGTCTGAAGAGTTGGCCTCGGAAATTGTTTCAGTTCTGGGGTGATGGAGAGACCAGGGGCCATGCTTTCCAGGGTGCCTCCAGTCTTAGTCAGACCATTAAGTCTGGTCTTCTTACTAGTATTTGAGTTCTGCATCCCAATGTTCTACAGCTCCATCAGGGACCCTCTGTTGTGTTCCCTGTCAGGACGTTCATTGGTGGTAGCCAGGCACCATCTAGTTCTTCTGGTCTCAGGCTGATGAAGTCTCTGGTTTATGTGGCCCATTCTGTCTCTTGGGCCAATTTTCCTTGTGTCTTTGGTGTTCTTCGTTCTCCTTTACTCCAAGTGGTTGGGACCAATTGATGCATCTTAGATGGCCGCTTGCAAGCTTTTAAGACCCCAGATGCCACTCACCAAAGGAGGATGCAGAACATTTTCTTAATAAGGTTTGTTATGCCAGGCACTATTCTAAGGAATCCTGGTGGTGCAATGGTTAAGTGCTGGGCTGCTAATAGAAAGGTCGGCAGTTTGAACCCACCATCTGCTCTACAGGAGAAAAGACCTGGCAATCTGCTACAAAAGATTACAGCCTAGGAAACCTTATGGGGCAGTTCTACTCTGTCCTATAGGGTAGCTATGAGTCAGAATCAACTCCACAGCACACAACAACATTGTAGGCTCTGGGGATACAGCAGTGGACAAAACCAACAGAGTCCCTGCCCTCAGGAAGCTTCCATCTTAGTGGCGGAGGCAGACAAAAACAAGCAAATAAATGTAGACTATAGTGTCAGGTAGTAATAAATGCTGTGAACAAAAACTGAAGCAGGGTAAAGGCGTAGAGCTTGGATAGTTAGAGGAGCCTTCTCTGAGGAGTTGACATTTGAACATAGACCCATGGTAAGAAGTAGTACTATATCAGTTAGCATTTGCTGCTGAACAAACCAACCCAAAATTTAGTGGCTCCAAACAGCCCCCATTTATTTAGCTCATCACTCAGTGCCTTGGTTGCACTGGCTTGGCTGGGCTTTACTGGGCGTGCTCATGTGTCTGCAGTCAGCTGGCAGGTGGGCTGGCAGCTGAATGATCTAGGATGGCCTCACCCACATGTCCGGCTGTGGGGGAGGTATTAGCCAAGTGACAGGGGCAACTGGGCCTTGGGTCTCTCTCATCATCCTACAGACCAGCCTGTCCTTCACGTGGCGGTCTCAAGAGTCCAAGTGTAGAAAGATAGGATAAGCCCCAGCTTATAAGAGCTTTACAAGCCTCTCTTGTACCATATTTTCTACTGTCCTGTTGGCCAAAGAAAATCACATGGTCCAAATTCAAGGAGTGGAGAAAGACTCCATCTCTGGATGGGAGAAGTAGCAAAGACACATGGAAAAGGGACAAGGACACAGGTAGGGATTTGTGGCTATTTTTGCACTCTACCAAGGATTTAATTGTGAGAAGATAGAATGAGCTTGGTACTATGCTGGTCACATGTCTTTCATCCGCCCCCACGATACTCAGAATTACCTTGGCACCATAGACAACAAGGGCTTTGGAATTATAAAAATTATCTTGGGAAATGGCATAGGAGAGAAAACCAAGCTCCAGGGAGGTTAAGTGACATGCCCTCACTTTATAGCCACAAGAATGTCCTTTAGCCTCTCTGGGCTTCTGGTTCTTCATGTGAACTGAAATGGGGTGGGACTAGCTGCGTGGAGTGTTCCTTTTTCCGGCTCTGCAGTGCAAGATTCTGTGAAAGTTGTAGAGTGTGAATCTTTTTAGCTCAGCCACCCAAAATACTAAATAGTTAAAATAGGCTACCCATACCCCAAGGGAAGGAGAGTTCATTGGGCTTGGTCCTGCTTTAATGGGGAGATCCTTAAGGAATTGTAGTTGCAGCAAGATATCTAACAGGGCTTGGCTGCATTAGGTGTGAGCTCTCTGGGCAAATGAATGACTCACCTGAGCCATCTGTCCCAGGGCTATGGAAGGTCATTCTAAATGGTCTCTGATGGAGCAGGGATGGGACAGGGGCAAAAGGATGGAGGCGTCACCCTAAGTCACGTCCTTTACCCTGAATGAAGTCTTGTTAATCCTCATGTTGGTGGTCAATTCGCATAAAATGTCTATGTCCAGTGTGTGGCTTACTGATGTAACTGCCTGCATTTAGTTACTTGTTGAATCATTCAGTCTGTACTGAGTTCCTACTACATGCCAGACATTATGGGGACACAATGGTCAAGAAAAACAGATGAGATTTTTGCCCTCAGGTTGCTGTCTGGCGGGGCAGATGCATGTTTACCAAATGTTCACAAGATCACAGTGGTGACCAGGGCTTGGAAGGGGAAGGTTACAGAGACATGGCCGGCTGTGAACAGAGGGTTGACCTGGTCAAAGAAATCAGGAGGGCTTCCCTGAGACAGCAAGCTGGGATCCAAAGCAAGCCACACGAGTTCCAGTGGAAGACAACAGCCTGTGCAAAGGCCCTGTGTTGGGAGAAAGGGATATGTATGTGCAACTGAAAGACAGCCTGGGTGGCTGATGCTGGGGGGTCCCTGGTACAAAATGAGGCTGGAGAAGTAGGTAGAAGTCTGGTGGGCAAGGTCTTGTTGGCCAAGCAGCATGGGAAGCCACATAAAGGTGTTATGTGTGAGGTGGGCTGACACGATCTGATAAGTGCGAAGAACCCAAGGCCATGTGCAGGCTTAACCAGCACTGCTCCACTCATCCTGCAGACGTTTCCTGACCGTCAGCAATGCCGCAGCCCAAGGGCCTTGGAGAAGAAAGGAGCAGAGCCCACCTCAAGGCACTCATGGTTGAGGCTGTTTTCAAATGGGTGGGATGTAGAGGTTGAAGATTCTTCTTCCTGTCTCCACCTTAGGTACTTGCTTCTGGAGCTCTGGTACTCACAGACTGCTCTGCTTCCTGTTGCAGGCCTTCAGCTTAATTTCACTGCCTCCTGGGGGGACCTGCACTACTTGGGGCTCACAGGCCTGGAGGTAGTGGGCAAGGACGGCCAGGCACTGCCTATTGGCCTGCACCAGATCTCCGCCTCCCCTAGAGACCTGAATGACCTCCCCGAGTACACTGATGACTCGCGGACCCTGGATAAGTAAGTGTCCACCATCAGCTTCACTCTACCAGCAGCCGGGCCTCAGGGACCCTGGTCTGCATCTTGACATCAGGCACAGACATCAGCTAGCATGTCACCTCCTCACAGCCACCCTGTGAGGTCTGTGGTCTTCCCATTTGACAGTCAGGGGAAACCAAAGCTCAGGGAAGGGAGATGGCCTTCCCAGGGCCACCACACAGCTAAAAGTGGACAGTAGGACTCAAAATGGGTTCTCGTCCTTCCAGACACAGCAGTGGTTTTTGTGTTCTCCACTGTGACTAGCACAGTGCCTGGCACACAGTAACCACTCAGTTAGCCTTCCATGGGTGGCTCTGTGTTTAGGCTGAGTGCCTCCTGCCTCTCCTCGAGGCAGGAGGTGATTGTTGAGCAAGGCTTCACAGGAGGCCATGGCTGCACTTCCCTGTGCACTTATCAGACTTCATAAGCCCAGGTTGGGCTTGACAATAAGGGACAATTGACTTGACCCAACCTGGCCTTATGAAGTCAGATATAGCATCTATCCACAGGGACCACATAACCTGCAGACCAGTGATCAGGCCCCCTGCTCAGGACAGCCATTGGACCTGGGCTTTGCCTGCAGGTGTGAATGAGAGTCTAGGGGAGTTAAAGAGATGGGGGCTCAAATCCCAGCTCTGCTCCTTACAGGCTAACTAAGTAAGTTTCTTACCCTCTCCAAGAATAATAGCAATGATCATAATAACAACAATATTATAGTTGCCGTTATTTCAGCATTTATTAAATGCCAGGCTCTGGATTATGCTAAGCAGGCTACAGGTATTCATCCTTAAGCCTCATCCCATTTTACATATGAGGAAACTGAAGTTCAGAGAAGTTAAAACCTGGTCTCAAATTGGCTAAGTGGCAGAGTCTTGATTTGAATGCAGGTCTGTGGGATCTATGCACTTCACTCCAAAGTTATACTATCTCCCTACCCTCGGTTTCCTTATAAGTAGAATGGGATAATAATTCCCATGGCTGGAGGAAGGGGAGGGGATTGTTAAACTGCAGCTGTGCCTCCTGGCCTGGCCCAGAGCACACACTGGGTCAGTGGTAGGCTCCCTTCACCAAGGCCCTCATCCCCCGCCGTCATCGCCTGCCCACAGGCCACTCTGACCTCTGCATCCTGGCAGATCAAGCTTCTGCATGCTTAGGCCTGGAGCCCCGTGAACTCTAGATCAGTGGTTCAAACCCACCAGGTGCTCCACAGGAGAAAGATGTGGCAGTCAGCTCCAGTAAAGAGTACAGCCTTGGAAACCATGTGGGGCAGTTCTACTCTGTCCTGCATGGTCATTATGAGTCAGAATCTACTCAACGTCAATGGTAATGGGTCCCAGATCAATTTGTAGCAAATTCCAGACCCAATAGTATTTCATCTCTAAATGTTTCAGTAGGTACCTCTAAACAATAAGGACTTTTAAAAAGAAGACATAATCTCAGTACCATTGTTACAACTAAAAAAAAAAATCAACAGTGATTCCTTAAATTACCAGATAGATATCCAGCAAGTGTTCATATTTCTTTTTTCCTTTTTTAACAGTTTGTGGGCTTGAATTGAGATCCATGTAGGGTCCATATGTTGTGATCAGTTTATATGCCTCTTAAGCCTTCTGTAATCTCTAGTTCCCCTTCTATCTTTTTTTCATTTTTCCTTGTAATTTTTCTGTTGAAGAAACCAAGTTTTTTGCCCTGTAGAGTCTGGACCTTACTGGCTGCAGCCCCATGGTATTGTTTAATCTGTTCCTTGCTCCCCAGCATTTTCTATAAATGGTTAATTAGATCTAGAGGCCTGATCAGATTGAGATTTGACTGTTGGGGCAACTTTATAGCTGTTGCTGTGTATTTCCATCAGGACATATGTAATGTCTGGTTGTCAAGTGACATTGATGGCCATTGGTGCTCAATGCCTAGATCCATTAACTCATTAGGGCTTGCAAAATGGTGATATTCTGTTCCTATCATTTCTTTTTCATTTATTTGCTGAAAATCCTTCAATAAAGAGAATTTTTCTCTCAAATGTTTGGTTACCGTGAGGTACAATTCAAACAGGAAAGGCAGGCTAAATGTTTGGTTCTTATCCTTTGTCAGTTTTCACAATAAAAAATTGGTTCTCTAGCATCCTCTAAAGTGTTTCTTTGTTTTTGAGTGTCATTTTAAACTCATGGATTTAAATATACAGTGCTTGTCGGGTTTCAATCCATTGCAATTGTTAATCCTTATCCATTCTTAAATTGCCCCTTCTTGGACACTGGGCGCTTAGCCACATGGACTCCTGAATCATTTTAAGATAGTAATCTCTGACAACTTCCTTGTTTTCTGATGTGACAAAGTGTTTCAGGCTCATCTTGTACATTTCTTGTCCCAGAATGGAATCAGCCATTTCTCAAAAGAGCCATGGTTCCTTTTAGTGGGAAATGGTATTTAGAGACCATAATCTAGCCACTAGGGATGCCCACTGCTAATGGGTTGGTCATTGTTTCTAGGCTTTTTCATGGACAGAGGTGGGAAGTATCATTTAGGTATTCTTGAGGGTATCTGTAGGGACTTCCCTCCACTGTCAGCTGTAAATGCTTCAGCAATTCTGTTTCCATAATTGGGCAACCATTTTCCTGTCCAGATGGCCCCATTTCTAGGACAGAGAGATAATTGCTTTTGGAAGGAAAATAGAAGGTTTTCTGGTGGTAATCTGCCGTCAGCTTAGTTCCATAAACACACAGTGTTGTATTGCTGAATTTCCTGTTTTAAGATGCCATCAATTGTAAGACACACAATCCATCAATTTAATAACAGCCTTGTGGAGACAAAAAAGAAACGTTACCTCCTTGGACGAACATTTAGATTGTAAGATTTATTCCAAATCCAAAACTTTAAAATATGAATATGTATTTTTTAAAGATCTTTTTTAAAATCTAGGAAACATGGCAGCAGCCCAAGTTTCTCCCAGTTCAACACCTTGGGGTCACCAGGATTCTGGGGCTATGAAGTGGGGGAGGCTCACAAAAATGAGGGGACAGAGTAGGCGATTGCTCAAGAGGCTAACAGTTAAGTCCCTGTCTCTGGGACCAGGCCTCTCAGTGATATTGCCAAACACATGAACCAGAGCCAGGATAAGGGTTTGGGGTCTGGGTTGAGCTTGCTGGGCAAATGAGGGCAGTCAGAGTCAGCATGGTCCTTGGAACAAATGCAGGCAGAGTTGAGGATGAGGCAGGAGATCTGGAGCAGGGGGAGCCAGAAATTGGGAAGGAAGAGAGTGCAGTGTGGGACAGGTGACAGTTTCAGAACAGTGGCTGGGAGGGGCACAAGGTGCTAGAGGCACCCTGGTAATGGTTAGGGGTTGCTCTGGGGTACCGAGGCCAGACCAGCTCCCCACAGAGACACTTGCCCCTTCTTGTACTTGTCCCATGCCAAGAGCTGCCAAGTTCACCCTGCTGCTTTAGGATCTCTCTCCCCATCCCAAGAAAGAAAGGGTACCATTCTTTCAAATTCTATCATAAAGTCAACAATTTTATAGAAAGTTTGGAAAATAGAGAAAAATATTCACCTACCAATCCCTCTGACTCAAATATAGTTTTGACTTTGGCCTAATCTCATCTGGCCTTTGTCCTCATTTACCCACAATATAGTCAGCATTCCCTCCATCCTGTAGCCTAACTCCCCGTGTGTGGTGAAGTGAGCTGCTTTATGTCCCTTTTGCCTTAGTTCTTTGGAAAAACAGCTTGATAGATTTTTTTTTCCTGTAAGCCCTGAAGAGTTGCCTTTGCCCTAGTTTTCTACCCTAGAGGGTTTATTATTTTTGTCCAGGTTGATTGACATTTCCTGGGTAAGCTGTAAACAACTTGTGGTTTGATACTTTTTATCTGGCCGTGGGCTGCAACCTGCCCTGTGAGTGGTATGCACCTTGCCAGGGATTGGTCAATGGACTATGCAAAAGAGTTGTAGCCTACTATGCAAATGAAGTGTATGTGGCCCATCAAGAGGGGATTGGTTAGTTTGTGTCCTACCCCACTGGAAGGGGCCCTGCCTTGAAATCGACAAGAAATTGTGTATATAAGTAGCCAACCCCAAAGAGGTTTTTAAGACAGAAAGAAGCAGGAAAATAAACAGGAAGAAGCAGAAGGAAGAAAGTAGGAAGAAGAAGCAGAGAGAGAGAGAGGCAAGGAACCTCCTGAAAGAGCTGTAACATGGGTCAAGGGCTGTAACACTGAAGATGGGGACAGGCCTGGAATGGACCCAGTGGCAGAGCTGGCAGCGACAGGTGGCAGGGCCAAGAGGAGCCTGTCCTGAGGGGACCCGAGAGGAGCCTGCCCTCAGTGTATGCCAAGAGAAGCCTGCCCTTGGGTGGCCGATCCTGATCCTGATCCTGAGTGGTAGCCTGTTGACCCAGGTCCCCAGTTGTACCCTGTTCCTTAATAAACCACTTAACTGTAAGTATGGTCTGTGAGTTCTGTGTGGCCATTGCAACAGATTATCAAACCCAGCAGAGAAGTAAAGAGGACAGTGGGAGGGATAGCTGGTGTCAGAATTGGTAAAAAGATTGGAGAGTGGAGGTATGTCTGACCTCTACCTTGTAGGGATCAGCTTTGTACTGATCCTGGTCGTTATCCCCTCTGAAGTTAGACAGATTGTGATGTTGCTACTATTACTCCTAGCTAGATTTTATACCGTGTTACTGCATCGTCATCACGATTATAATTTTAACAACTATACAAATATACTTGTGTTTCTCTGTCTTGGGATCTTTTAGGTTGTTACTTTTTTTTTTTTTGGCTATTATAAATAAAACTGTAATAAATACATTTGTGCAGATAGCTTTTTCTACATGTTGACTACATTTTCCTTACAAAAAAAAACAAAAACAAACCCAAACCCATTGCCATTCAGTCGATTCCGACTCATAGCGACCCTATAGGACAGAGTAGAACTGCCCCATAGAGTTCCCAAGGAACCCCTGGTGGATTCGAACTACCAACCTTTTGGTTAGCAGCTATAGCACTTAACCACTACACCATCAGGGTTTCCAAATTTTCCTTAGGAGAAAAAAAATTCCAGAAATGAAATCACTGTGTTAAAGGGTCCTGACAGATGACACATTTTCCCTTTTATTTTAACCCTGATGATTGCTGTGTCACACTTTTAAGAGCATTAAAAAAAAAAAACCAAATGAAACCTGTTGTCGTTGAGTCAATTCTGACTCATAACAATCCTATAGGACAGAGTAGAACTGCCCCGTAGGGTTTCTAAGGCCATAAATCTTTACGGAAGCAGGCTGCCACATCTTTCTCCCGAGGAGCAGCTGGTGGGTTCTATCCACCCACCTTTCAGTTAGCAGCCGAGCTCTTAACCACTGCACCACCAGGGCCCCTTTTTAAAAGCATAGGCTCGTATTTTTTCTTTTCCTTTTTTCTTATCTTGTCTAACCTCACGGATGAAGCGTGGCCTCTCACTGTTGTTTTTAATAAGTCACACCTCCCCTTAGTGAGCCTGTTTAGCCAGGCTAGTGCCAGGTGGCAGGTGGCCAAGGTGGGGAAGTGAATGGGTGCTGGCCCCCTGCTTTGATGTCTTCCCCGTGGACTGGGCCACCCCCATCTCACTGCTGCTTTCCCATTGGGTGCAGGTTAATCGATGGAGCCAACATCACAATGGAGGATGAGCATATGTGGCTGATCCCCTTCTCGCCAGGGCTGGACCACATGGTCACGATCCGCTTCGACAGACCTGAAAGTATCACAGGCCTGCGCTTCTGGAACTACAATAAATCTCCCGAGGACACCTATCGAGGGGTAAGCTGGGAACAGTGGCAGGCTCCGTCCACTGACAGGGAAACAGCGCCTTGATGAATGGCTGGTGTGGCTGCCAGAGAGGAGCGTAAATCCTCCAGAACTTTCCAAATGGAGCTGGGGGGGTTACGACCAGGGAGAGAGCACGCTGCTATTTTATTCTATTTCTGCAAACAGCAAATGCAGGCTAAGGGCCCAGGGCAGACTCAGGAAACTGCAGAGCCTCATGTCTTCTGTGGGGCGAGGCGGGGAGGGAGGTTCTAGCAAGCCCAGCCCCCGACTTGTAATGGGAAATTAAGTCCCTGTGTTCTTTGAGGGCTTCCAGGGGCCAGGCTCCGTGCTGAGGGCCTCACAGGCCTTCATCATTTCGTTGGACCCCGATCGCAGCCTCTGCCAGGCAGGTGTTACTACAGTTTTCAGGGTATTAAGCCGAGGGTCAGAAAGGTTCAGTTACTCACTCCAGATCACACAGCTCAAGTTCCAGGCAGCTCTGCCTGACTTGGAGCTCACCACGATACGTTCTTGTGCTGCTGGATGGGAAAGCATAAGCGGCCGTCTAAAACTCACCCTCTGTCAGTACAGGGAAACGAGCATCAGAAGCTTTCCTTCTGTGGGTTCTCCACCTCATGCAAGCAAGTAGGAACGAATAAGCATCGTTCCCTCCTCTGAACAAAAGGGATGATAAAGGCCCCTAAAATAGAGCGACCCAGCTGGGGCCCGAAAGTCAGAAGGACCCAAATATGAATCTCAGCCCTGACCCTTACCAGCTGTGTGGCCTTTGGCTTGATTTCCCTGGGCCTCAGCTTCCACATCTGCAAACTGAGGATAATTAGAACACCTGTCTCGTCGGGTTTCCATCATCCTTTGCCTCATAGAAGTTGACGGAGCCAGGGCTTGACCTTGGGTCCTAGGTCCACTTCTGGGCTCCCTGTACCGACCATGCCACAGAATTCCTCCGATGGGACCTGTGTGGCGTCGGCAGCCAGCCCACCCTCGCCCCCGCTGGCACGGAGCCGAGCCGGCCTCACATGCCGCAGTAACGGCTCCGCTGAGCATGCAGTCGACAGTCCTCCCAAAGCTGCCTGTGCGTCTGTAAGTGCTCTTGGTATTGGCATTAAAAAAAAAATACTCTTCTGCCTTAGGATGTGCTTTTGGGCCTTTAAATTCCCTTGAGTGAATCACAGCCTTTCTGGTTGAGCTTCCTCGACCTGAATTTACTACCTGGAACGCTTGGCCCAGAGTCCCTGCTTCATAGGCCTGGTTCCCACAAGCCAGTGACAGGTGGGCATGGTGGCATGAGGAGACAGGAGATGGACATGTGATCTGAGAGGGCATCCCCGAGTTCAGTGTGATGGAAACAGTGGACCCTCCTCAGAACAATGCTTTGGACGCCTGCCTCCCCAAGGCCCTGTTGGGTACCTGGTTACAAGCCCCTGGTTGTGGTTAGAAGCCAGGGCCTTGGACTCCAGGAGACAGGGCTTCAAATCCCTTTCATTCCTCCACGACTGTGTGTCCTCAGGCAAATGGCTTCACCTCTCTGAACCCTAGTTTCCTTAGCTGTAAGATGGGGCTGGTTATAGAAGCTACTTCCTAGGGAATGGACAGAGGACAGGGGCAGGGACCAGCTCTACAGGGAAGTCAGGGCCGCTTCCTGGGGAAGTGGTGGCTCTGGGGGTTGGTTAGGGGCTTGTGGGCCTCTGCTTTGCATGGTCATGGGTTTCACTTTCAGGGGACTCTCTCCACAGGGTGAACCCTGGAAGCTCCAAGCTTACACCTTGCTGTCCCCAAGTCCAGCAAAAGAGAGAACTCCCCTTCCAAGACAAGGCAGCATACTCCAAGAGCTGTACGAGTTGATTCTGGTTCAGTCACATGACCAACCCTGAACCAATCACATGGCCATCGGGGTACTGGTCTCAATTTGGCCAGGCCTGGGTCATAAGTCCAGTCATGGGGCTGTGTTGGAATCAGATCGAAGAAAGCAGAGCAGAGAGATGTAGAGAGACAGAGCCCAGGTCCTAGTGACGTCCTCGGGTCCCCATCTCCAGCCATGCCTGAAGCCAGTTTACCCTATACTTTTCAGGTTTATGTGCCCTTAATTCCCTTTCTGCCCCACTGGCACCCCAAAGAGCTCTGATGACTGACGTAGTGGGGGCTGCCTGAGTGCTGAGGACACATTAGTTACCCATGATCCCCAGGACAGGCCCTCCTTCTGCCTGGAGCTGCCCCTCTGCACTTCCTGAGGAGGAACTTCACCAGTACAGCCGGTGGTTGGGCCACGTTGCTAACCATGAAGGTGGGGTAAGGTGTCCAGGAGCCCTGATTCTAAATCTATAGTCAGAGAGAGGGTGCTGGCTTATCACCCCTCTGCTCACCCAGGGGAGCACAGCACTGGTGTGGCTGAGCCCCCTCATACCCTGCCATGAGGCCTTGAGATTTACTGGTGGATCCCGGCCTTCTGGCCAGCACAGTCTAGCCTAGATCCACATTGATTCAGCAAGCTCTTGGTAAGCACCTACTGTGTGTGCCAGGCCCTGAGGCAGATATGGAGATGGTCCAGCTGGGGCCTCTGCCATCCAGGGAGACCCGGAAACCACCGAGGACACTGCTGGGCAATAAATACAACCTCTAAGGAAGGACAAGCTCAGTGCTATGAGGAGGAAGAGCAGGAGGTGGCTCATTCTGTTCCAGGGAAGGTGCCAGGAGAGGTGGTGAGTGTAAGTGAGGGTTTGAAGAAGGAATGAGACAGGTTCACACTTACTGAGTGCTTATTCTGTGCCAGGCACTGTTCTGTGCACTTCACATACGTTAACTCGTTACTGACGTGTGGGGAGGTTGCACAGTTACTAATGGTGGATGTCAGAGCACCCAAGTTCATGCCCTTGATTCCAGATAATAGCGCCTCAGGCCCCTGCAGCCAGTGAGGTGGGTGGGCCCTTGGCCCAGTCGCGTTCCACCCCTGAACGCTGTAGGCCAGAGAAGGCATGTCTGTGTCTACCGTGGGAGGGGCCTCATCTTTCTTGTGCTCTGCTGTCTGCCATTGCCCAGCACAGTGCCTGGCATGGAGGAGGGGACGACCCTGGCCTGGGAGAAAAGCCAGACCAAGCCATTTCTCAAGGCTTGGGGGTCTGTTGTAAATGCCAACGGCCGCAGCACCAGCAGCGTGAGTACCCACTGCTGTCCCCCACGCTGGCTCTGGCTCTTCACACATGGTTTTTCTTGTGTTTGCAGGCCAAAATCGTCCACGTCTCCCTGGACGGCTTGTGCGTCTCCCCCGCAGAGGGCTTCCTCATCCGGAAGGGGCCGGGGAACTGTCACTTTGATTTTGCTCAAGAAATCCTCTTTGTGGACTACCTGCAGCCGCGCCTGCTGCCCCAGCCGGCCAGGAGGTGAGTGGGCAGCAGGCTGTGGGAGTACTCCTTCCTCGTCCACGACGCTTGCTCTGCACACAGCTCTGAAGTGTGTACCTAAAGGGTTTTGAAATGATGATCAAACACACTGCTTTTCAACTGGGCCGTTTTCTAAAGCTCAGCCGAGCCCCTCCGGAAGCCTGTGGGATGTGCCCGCTTTGTCTGGGGCCATTTGGGTTTTTCACAGTCTGGAGTGCTTTAAGATTTTAAACGCTTCATTGCACTTCCTGCTGGGAAGAGAGGCTAAGCCTGCCTCGATTCCAGAAATGCCCGCTGGCCGATTCAGGGAAGGGCCTGCCTTCTCTTGCTTCTGTGTTCCTGATTTAGAAAGATTCAAAGGAAAGAATAGAGGCTAACGTTTCATGGGTTCACTGGGGTTGCTTGGCCCCAGTCTCAGCTGCAGTAGGTTCATAATAATTTGTAATTGCCACATTAAGTTTACTCATTTAAACACCCTGATGTCCAAATGCCAGAGGCCAAGCTCTAGAAACAAAATGAGTTTCTCTCCACAGTAGCCAGGATCGGTTCTTGGGCTGGTCACTGGGAACGGTCACTTAATTGTAACATTGTGCCCTTGACATTGAAGAAATCCAGGCCAGAGCTGGAGGGGACTGGCTGCAGACCAGGGAGAGAAGCACCGTGGGGCGGGACATGAAGGGGAAAGGAGGCGAGAACTCACCTCCCAAGTGCCTGCTATACCTGGGTGCTTTGTATTCATACATTCCAGAACCCTTTTAAAAACCTATTAAGTAGGGGTTATTATGCCCATTTTACAAATGTGGGAACTGAGGCCCTGGCTGGTGAAGCCACTTGCTCGGAATCATGAAGCCTTCACAGCCCTCTCCACCTCCTACACCTTCTCATTTCCTTCTCCCCCTTCCCACCCCCACTACATCCCTCTGGCTACTTTCTGGGGCAACCCCACCCCCACCCTCCACCCCATCCCCACCCCATCCCCACCCCTGGCCAAGCTCATTTCTGCCTCAGGGCCTTTGCTCTGGCTGCTCCTCTGCTTGGAAGCCTGAGCTCTGACTCTTTCCATGGCTCCCTCCTCCTTGATACTGAGGCCGTAGCTCAGAGGCCTCCCCTGACCACCCCCCTGCAGTAGCCTTCCCCTATCCAGTCACTGCCCCGTTGTCCTGCCACAGGTCTCCCATAGCTCTTATCACACCACAGACTTGCCTTGTTTGTAGAGAGGCAAGGGTGGTTGAGAGTATGCTCTGCACCTGAACGACCTCTGGTCACATCCCTGTTCCACACCTACAAGCTATGTGATCTTGAGCAAGTGACTTCACCTCTCTCTGCTCCAGTTTCCTTATCCACAACTCCGGCATACAACAGGGCCCACCTCTCAGGGTTGTTTGGAGGAATGAGAGTCCCTGTCAGTCAAGCCCCAAGGACAGTGACACCTGGCAGAGTAAGCACCATATCAGCATTGGTGATGACTGTCACCTGTGTATAGCAGCCCCTCCAGTAAAATGGAAACTCCATGCAAGCAGGGACCTCGCCTGTCCCTACATCCCAGGGGGTCGCTAAGCTGCCATGTTTCTACAAGGTCTGTGGCCAGCTGAATAACCCAGCAGGGATTCTGAGCAGCAGGGCTCTACCTCATGGTGCTGTTTTGTGTTTTCTCAGGCTCCACATGAAGAGCCGGGAGCACGCGAGCATGGACTACGAGGCACCGCTGATGCCGTGCGGCTGTATCCTTCTCCCTGCCCCACCCGCACATCCCGGGCCCCTCAGCTGCTTGCCATTCCCCAGGGGAGGGCGAGGCCCTGCAGCTGCCTCGCCAGGGCTCCGAGGTGTCTGGGCCTCAGCTGCCTGCTGGGTTTTCAGGCAGGCCACAACACAGAGCTGCCAGAGCACCACAGGACACCCAAGGCAGAGATGGTATCTCCTGGGATGGGCCACGGTGGCGGTGGCGGGAGGTGGGGAGGATTCCCAGGTTCAAACCTTCTGGACTCTTACCATGGCCCAGCGCTGTCTCATTGTGTCATCTGCATTAACTCAGTCCTCACGACAACTGTGTGAGGTAGGTACTGCTGTCATCCCGTCTCACAGCAGAGAAAACTCAGGCACAGAGCGGCTAGGTGACTTGTCCAGGGCCACACAGCTGGGAAGGGACAGGGCCAGGTTAATGAACCCTGGCAGCCTGGCTATAAAGCCTGGCTCTCTCACCACCCTGTTTTCCTGGAAAGATTGCCTCTGGCTACAACATTGCCTGGATGGGAGGGTTACCCTGCCACTTCACAGGTTTCCTAGCCTGCTTGCTTCCTAGGAATGCCGGAAGCGTGTGGGGCAAGACTGAGGAGGGAGTTGACTCCCAGCTGTGCATGTGGGCCTCTGTCAGCAATGGTGGTTATGGGGGACCTTGCCCTACCTGCCACTGCTCCATCCCCCCAATGCTGCAAAGCTCATGTGTTCCCCACACCTTCACCTCCTGCACACCTGAAACAGGTGGAGGAAGGGCCAGGTGTTCTTGTGATCTTGCAACCAGGGAAACTGAGGCAGGAGACAGGGGAGCGATTTGTTCAGCATCATACAATGAGTTTGTGACACAGGTGTTTCCCACCCAGTTTGATGCAGAGCCTGGGCCTGGTCCCTGGAGGGCATCCCCACCCGCTGTCTCCTGGGGCCTGGAGAAGGGTTCTGAATTCCTTTTTAAAATATATATATATATACATCTACTACTCACTTATGGACTGTCTCTTTACCCAACATTTTGCTTTCACCACAATAGTAAAAAATCTACTATCCAACTATTTTGCACATTAACAAGGTACATCTGGCAGTAACGAATGCCGAGGTGCAAGGCGAGAGTAACGCTGGCTGTGATGGTTATGTATCAGCTAGGCTGGGCCATGATTCTCAATGGTTCGGCAGTTATGTGATGGTGTCATTTGGCAGTTATGTAATGATGTAGCTATCCTCCATTTTGTGATCTGATATGGTCATCCTCCATTTTCACGTAATGCCAATTTTCGCCTAATGACCTGGTCTGTGGAACCTAACCATGTTGGTAAATGAGGAATGGGTATATATACGTATATGCAATTTAAATTCAAGAAAATTTGATGTACATGTATTTTGATAGGCTTCAGTCTCAGTGAGAGGAAAAATATCTTTTTTTTTTAATCTTTCATCTATATAGACTAAAAAAGAAAAATCTGTTATCTATGTCATTGTTTTACTTTGTCCTGTAGAACATGCCTGGTTTTCCTTAATCGTGTGTCCCAGTCATTTTCCAGTTTCAGCTCCTGACCAGCTGGGGCGACCCCTATTACATCGGTCTGACTGGCCTGGAGCTGTATGACGAGCGAGGAGAAAAAATTCCTCTGTCAGAAAACAGTATCCTTCCCAGGGCCAAAGGGGGCTCCTCCAAACCAAAGGGAGCATGGGAGGGTAGGGGCAGGAGCAGAAGCCTTGAATGTAGAGTAACCAGAGCCCTGGATTAAAAATACCATGGGCTTTGCTTATACTAGAGGATGACTCTTGGGGGAGGACAAAGCAGAGAGCAGTTCCCAGCCCTGACCACCGAGGCATCAATTACAGGAGCCCCACAAAGTAAGAGTCCCGTGGTTGAGGGAATTGGGAGAGGCTACCAACTGCAGCCCCTTCTTGGAGAACCACAGGCAGTTTGCTGTTCCAAAGGCTCTGACAAGTCCTACAGGGAGAAAGCTGTTTTGCTTTGTTCAACTCAGCGTGTCTCAAATTTTTTGACCATGGAACCCCTTGTTCATGGAATACCCACACCAGAATTTGACGTCTGTTACCCCAGTGAGTTTCTAAATATGACAGGCAGGATCCAGCCACTAACCTGTTCCCTTCTAAAAGGGAGGATCCAGCCACCACCCTGTTTGCTTCCAGAAGGAGGCCTCAGAGTTTGCCCTCCACCCTCCAAAGCAGCAACAGCATGTTTTGCTCCTGCCACCGGCAGTTCTGGGAAGGTCCTCTTTTCCAGCCAGCTCTCTGCTTGGTTCCTCCCGTTTGTACTTGAAACTGCCCCCCACGCGCACACACACGCCCACTCTCCCCAGGCCCCACATGCTCGTTTCCCCTACACATGTCTAATCTGGCTGTCATGCCTCCAGCTGCCCTGAGCAGCCACAGCAGCTCTGCCCACAAGCCCCGCAGCCCCAGCAGCGCTGGCAGCCCCAGGTCCCCCGAGCCACACCGTCAGCATGACGGAGGCTGGCAGCCCTGAGCGTGGCCCCTGGTGCCAAACACATGGCCTTCCGGTTATGACAGCTGACAGGCTTCCCCAGATATCGCAGCCTTCCCGGACAGCGTGAACTCCCTGGAGGGCGTATGTGGGGACGTCCGGACCCCTGACAAACTCATCGACCAAGTGAACAACACCAGCGATGGCAGGCACATGTGGCTGGCTCCCATCCTGCCGGGCCTGGTGGGTGCCCAGTGGTGGTGGCTCCCGGGCAGTGGGACTTTCTGGCCTGGGTTTCTTTCTTCCAGGCCAAGCTAGGTAATCTCACATAAATCAAGTGCCTGGGAGTCATCAGGATAGCACAGGTCTTTGCTGACACTCCTGATGGGGTCAGCTCTTTAAGGCCAGTGGTTCTTCCTCTTTGCTGTGGGGTGGTTATCACAAGGGGGCACCAGGGAGATGAGGGACCTCATGGGAATCTGAGGCCAGGAAGCCTGGTGCTACAGGCCTGGGTGCCTGGGCATGGCTGGTCACTGTGGGTGCACTATGGTTGTCTTTCCTTCCTCTGCCACTCTCTGCAGTCCCCCTGCCCTCCTCCTCTCAGCCCTGGCCTCTCCACACTCACTGTCACTACTTCTAGCATCATCGGGTACTTGACCTCAACACGGCCACCCTTGCCCACTCTGGCCCCAAGGCTACCTGGTCCTGCTTGTCTTTTTGCCCTGAGGCCTCATGGTGAGCCCAGGTGTGGGCCTTCACCCACCCAGGCCTGGTCAGCTGTGGTGGAGAGGGAGGAGATAGGCCAGGAGGTGGGGACAGTGGAACGTGGGGAGCGCGGTTATCTCAGGTGGGTTGAGCACCTGCCCGCCTCTCACGTGGGGCCCTGACGCCTGGGTCAAGATGGGGCATCCATGAGACCACTGAAGTGCCCGCTATTTCAACTCCATGTGATTGGGAGGGAGGGGGTACAGTTTCCTCTCAAACACTCACAGGAAGGTACAGCACCGGCAGTTCTGTGACTGATGCTGTCCAAAGGCCGCCCCTAAATGGACCCCCACTGAGGCTCTATCAGCTTCCCTTGCACTGGGGCCAGCCCCTTAGCCCCAGTCCCACCATCGCACAGGAGAGAAAGCGTAGATCTATCCGCCCTTGGACCTGGGGCTGCAGACCGGTGGCCCACCAGCCAGTCCAGTCATTGCTGTCTGGAATGCAGCCAGCACAGTGCTGACCATTGCCTGTCTCTGGAAGGCCTTCAGGTGTGGGGTGGGTTTCTCCAGCTGTCTATCCCCCAGCCAGAGTTAAATGTCTGTACCTGCTTGAGCCCCACAGGCATAGAGTCTGAGGACCTCATCTAGACCTTTATTATTCCCCCGGTTCAACCAGAAGGCTGACCCCCACCCCCCACCCCAATCCACACACACCCTTTGGGGGCATTCTGAGGATGGCCAGAGGCTGAGAACCAGGGTGGGGCAAAGTGACAGCTGTGGCCTGTGGCTAGCACTGAGTGACTATTACTTTCTTCACCCTGCGAGGGGCTGCCCTGTATTTGAGAGTTTGAGGGGAGCAGCTGTTCGAGGCTGTTGGGTACTATTTTACTAGCTTTGTTCTGCTGCTGATCTGGGCAGCCCCCTCCCTGCTCCCCCCACCCCCCGCAGAAGGCTCAAGGACACATGCCTAAAATTACCTAGCAGCGCCTGTAGGGCCTCTGCTTGGCTTTTGATTTATCAGGCCAGGGAAAGCACAAACAGGGGTCAAGGCAGGCTTACTGCCTCGGGGCAGTGCTCTCAGCTCTGGGGTCGGTGACTGTCCCTTGGCCCATGGAGCCCCAGACTGTGTTTTCTGGGCCTGGCCTGGGGAAAAGGCAGTGGGCACCCAGGTCTCCACTGGTATGTAAATGAGGGCCATGCCTGGGCCCAGGAAAACAAGCCCTCCAATAGCCAGCTCAGCACTTTGTTGCAAACGCAGCCACATGTGACCTGACTCACGATGTGCTTTGAGGAGACGAAAGGCATCTGCACACCCCACGCTGTGGTCCAGAGCGGCCCAGGCTGGCAGGTGTGGGCAGGCGATGCCCGGGCCGCCCGCCTGTCTCGCCCCCTGCCCACACCCAGCACCCTGGCCCAGGCGAGCGCCCCTGTTTCCAAACATGCCCGTTTTAATTAGTTCTTCTCCCTGACAGGTGAATCGGGTTTATGTGATTTTCGATCTGCCTACCACCGTGTCAATGATCAAGCTATGGAATTATGCAAAAACACCCCACCGAGGGGTGAAGGAGTTTGGCGTAAGTACTTATTAGCTGGGTTTTTTGAGATAATTATGCTTGTTGGTAATTAGGCTGCCAGCAATTATCATTTGTCTCAGTGTGATTTAGTTCTCTCTGTTGCAACCTTAGACACAAAGGCCTGGTCCTCAGATGCTGAGAAATTTGCCATCTAGCCTTGAATTCAAAACCTCTCCGGGGGATTTGAATCATCACCCTGAGCAAATAGAAAGGGACTTTTCTTCCTTATTTTTCTCTTCTGCTGCTTGATTCACATTGGGTTGGGAGCTCTTCATGCTGGGAGGTGACTCGGGTAGGGAGAGCAGGGACCCTGGAGCTGAGACCCCCTTGCCTTCTTGCTCTGCCTCGTGGCCTAGCAGTATTTAACCCCTCTGAGCCTCAGCGTCCTCATCAGTAACGGGGCTAATTGCGTGCTTTGCCAGGTGGTTGTGGAGATCTGAGGTACTAACGCAGGCCTGCCACACTGTAAGCCTTGGGGCTGACACCACCTCCAGAGGAGAGTGCCAGCCTCTGGGCAGTGCAGTGCTTTGCCCAAGGTCAAATGTGGGAAGGAGAATTTGAACCCAGGACTGTCCAGCTGCCTGGTCTGAGTTTTTCCCTCTGGATTCCTGTTTCCCAAACTCCAGGTTTTCATGTACCACCTTAAGTTTTGCCACCCACACAGCTTACACCTGTACCATCAGTTAGCTACTCTTTGCTTAACTGACTCACTTATTTTACTTACCTTGTGCTCAGCCATGGTCACTATGAAACCAGAGGTTTGATGTATTAGTTAAATGTTCTTTGCTAATCCCTGTTAAAACACATAACTGTTCACATCCAAATAATCACCTGCACACCTAGGGTGGCCGTGTGCCATGCTTAGGAGGTGCTTACTCCACCCCACTGCAATGGCAGCTGGTCACCCCCCGGCCCTCTTCTGTGTCTCTCTGTCCAGCTCCTGGTGGATGACTTGCTGGTGTACAATGGGATCCTGGCCATGGTGAGCCACCTGGTGGGGGGCATCCTGCCCACGTGCGAGCCCACAGTGCCCTACCACACCATCCTCTTCACCGAGGACACAGAGATCTGTCACCAGGAGAAGCACACCACCATCAGGTGCGCCCGCACCCAGCACACGCGCCCGCGCCCAGCACACGCTCCCACCGGCTGGCCAGCTGCAGCCCTGCAGACTGAGCACATCTCCCTTCTTCTCCCTCCCGCAGTAGCCAGGTGGAGGATCAGGACATCCAGATGTTGAACGAGAGCCAGATTGTTACCAACTCCAAGCGGAAACAGAGTGCCATTGACCCAGGTCAGTTTCCTGTCCCCGCCACCCCGACCCCGACCAAACAGAGAACACGATGGCAGGCTTCCCACTCCCACTCCTCCCTGCCCACCCTCAGGCCGCTCTTCTCCCCCAGGGAGCCTGCCAAGGGGCTGGGGAGGGACTGATGGTGGTGAACCTCAGTGCAGACTGTTACCTTCTCCCTGAAGTCCCCCCGTAACATGGTACAGCGTCCCCTGTGCCAGGTGTTAGCAGGTACAGGTGGGAAAAGGGCAGTCGAGGCCCAGCCCTCCTGGCACCTGTGTTCCATGGGGGAAACAGGCAACAGCCAAGTAAACAAACAAATGGGAAGATTTCAGCTCATGTGAGGAGCTCTGGAGAAAATGGACAGGATAGAAAACAATGGGATGGGGGCATGGGAATGGGGACTTTACCTAAAGGGGCTAGGGGAGTGGGGAGGTGGCATTTGAGCCGAGACCTAAAGGATGAGAAGGAGCCAGGCACCAGGGCAGGGAAGAGTGTACCCAGGCCAGTGGAGGGGGCCCGTGTGACTGGGACCCAGAGAGATGGAGACAAACTGGGAGAGACAGGTGGGGCCATGCTCAGGGTGCAAAGGGAGCTGCTGAGGTGCTTTACGAAGGCATGGCATGCTCCAGTGTAGATTTTTTAAAGATAATCGTGAATAATAATAGCTAACTTCTAAATGGTGTGAAGCACTGTTCCAAATGCTTTAAAATATTAGCTATATCAAGCCTCACAACAGCCCAGTGGGGTAGGGACTATTATCATCATCTCCATTGATAGATGAGAAAACAGGGATGCAGAGAGGTTAAGTTACTCATCCAGGGTCACACTGCTAAACTAGAAGGGACAGTCTGACTCTGGAATCGCTGTTCAGCCACGTACACTATACTGCTTCTTGAGAGAAGGAACAGTCTCTTTAGCTATAGTTTCTGATTAACTTCAGGCAATCCTTTGATCTCAGTCCAGAGTATCTAGTTTTCTGCCTTGACAAGTGTGGGGAATGTGGCTGGCTCTGTTTTTGCCGCTGAGTCTTACTCTTGTGGACTTCTTCAACAAGGATCCTCCGGGCCTGCTCAGCCAGCCTCAGCGGAGGGCTGTGGGCCAGGGGCGGGGGCAGTGTGAGGACCCAGGAGGGAGCCCTGAAAGTGAGCGGTATGGGGAAGGGGCCAACTGAGCAGGATCTGAAGGATAAGGAGGAGTTGGGGAGGCAGGAAAGGCTGGGGAAGTTCCAGCATATCAAGGAACTGGAGGCAGTTTATGCTGCTGAGGTACAGAGCGCTGGGACCAGGGTACGTGGCGGGCGGGGCCAGCACAGGGACTTCCAAGCCAGGAGCCAGGCCTCACCCAGAAGTGGGAATTGTGAGCAGGGGAGCACATGGTACCGGAGGCCTTGCAGAGCAGGCCATCCAGCCTGGGGAGGGGGGCTGGGGCAGGGAGGGGCTTTGGGGAGCTGATGGTGGAGCCGACGCTGGACAGGAGGAGACCATGAGAAGGTAGAGTGGGCAGGACTTGGTGGGCACTGGGTGTGTGTTGTGGGGGTGGTGGTCTGAGGCTGACCACTACCAGACGGCCCACTTTGGTCGCCCTGCCTCCTTCCCACAGGCCGCCTGGCACTGGACTCCAAGAGCAAGGGTGTCTTTGAGCAGACTAGGCCAGAGAGCAGGGGGTTGAAGCAGAACACAGAAGGTCACGTACAGTGGGTCTGAGCCCCAGCTCTGCTGCCCATGTGCATGTGACCTGCAGGAGCCCCAACCTCCCTAGGCCTCAGTGCCCTTGTCTCTAAAAGGCAGCTGGTGATATCCTGAAGGTTTGTTGTGACAGTAAAACAAGATCTAGGCTCAGTGCTTAGATGTATTTTTAGAGCATTTGGGTCAGGCAGACCTGAGTTCAAATCCCAGCCACCTACTTTGTTAGCTGCAGGAGTTTGGAGAAACCCCTTCTCTTCTCGAGCTTCGGTTTACCCCTGTAAGGGGAGCTGATCTTTCCTGCCCTGCCCTGTCACAGCAGCTTGTGAGCCCCAAACGGGATATCAGGGTGAGGGGCTTTGCTGCCTGCAAGGTGGTGGTGTCCGCCTCAGCTTTCCAGCTCTGTCCCCAGCATGGTTGAATCCACCTGCTGACCCCAGGAGGGAGTAAGCAGGGGTAGGGATGGTCCCTAGGTTCCTACTCCCCCCCACGTTCATCCCCTATTATCTCAGAGACTGAGATATCCTGAGAGAGGGTCTCACTGGCTCTGCCTGGGGGCTGGGCAGCCACAGTCAAGGCACCTGTCCCTGGTCCCAGCCCTCTCAGTCCCCCAGGGAGCCTCCTTTCACCCTGGACACCAGGTCCCTCCTATAAGGCTGACTGTTTAGCTGTGAGGCCGTTAGGCTTACCAGACCCCTCCCTTCCTTTTCTTCTCTCTTTCCTTCCTACTCACACACGCACGCAAAGGCACTTGTCACACAAGTGCAGAGGATGTGCCAGGCTCAGCTCTAGGTCCCAGAGAACAGCACTGACAGCACCACCTGGCTGGTGGCCAAGGAGTGGGTGGGGGAGGCAGACCCGAGTCAAGGCCTGTGGGAAGCCAGCAGAGGAGGGTGAGGCTTCCAGAGGAGGTGACATTTGAGATGTTCCTGAAGGTTGTGAGGAGTTTGCCAGGCAGCAGGAACAGCAAGGCAAAGGCCCAGAGGTGTGGCGGGGCCGTGCCAACCCCAGGCAGGGGTCACGGTGCCGGGATCCCTGAGCTCAGAGGCTGCTGGGAGATACAGGCCGTCGTCACCAGACCCCACAGGCCTCGAATGGCAACCCACGCGGTTTGGATTCACCCTGTGGGCATGGGCGTCCCTTGAGGATTTGAGGTTTAGTGCCACACTCTGGTCCCTCTATGCTCTCCCTCAACAGCCTTACGCCCCAAAACCTGCATAAGCGAGGAGCCGGCGAGACGGTGGCGGTACTGACTAAGGGAGAGCGGCTGACCAGCCAGCAGAGAGCGGGTCCCCGCGCCCCTCCAGGGCACTGTCCCTGGCTTCCCACAACCCGTGCCCGTGTCCCCCACCCACAGTCCTCAGTGTGGGCCAGCCCGGACCCCGGGGCTGGAAGAGAACCACCATGGGGAGAAGGGACTCGGGGATGGGCAGCCTGGAAAATACAGGAGTTACAGGCCGGAGGACGGCGGGCTGCTGCTGCAGGGCTTGGTGTGGCCTTCTGCCTTCCCCTGTAGTTCTGGGGCCAGCAGCAGGAGCCCAGGGGCACTTCCCTTGGTGCCTCTGTACAAAATCCAGCAAAACAGGGCCCACATCCTCTCAGGTCTGCCCTATGATACCTGGGCTGGCCCTGACTTGGGCCAGGACAGTGAGGTAGACGGGGAGACCTCCCATCCAGCCTGCTCAGGGCCCAGCGTGTGGCTCAACCTCAAACACCAATACCAGCATTGTGTGAGGGGCACTGGGGGAGGCTCTGTCCCAGGCCCCACGCACACTGTCTGCACATCTCTGCTTCATTTGGGGGCCAACGCAGCTTGGCTGAGAGGGTGGGATTGTTTCCTGGCCCCCCAAATTTCTGGTCAGGACTGCCACAACCCCCTCACTCATTCTGTGCCCCGTCCAGGCCCAGTGAAGAAGGAGGGGCCCCTCAGGGAGTTGGGTCTGCAGGGCCACTGTCCTCTGGTCAGGCCTGACAACGGGCCATTCCAGGGCTGTGTCCCACTGAGGAAAGGAGTGAGTCGTGCCCACTACCACCCAGAGCTGGGCCTCTCTGGCAAGCCAAGGGCATTTGTCTCTGTGGCGCTACAGGCCCAGATAGCATGACAGGTGGACAAGCAGCTTCATACCCCAGAGGGTTGGCAGCACGAACGAAGGCACTGTGGGCTGTGGCTGAGTCAGAACCTCACCCCGGGCTGAAGAGGCACACCTACTTGTCCCCTCACTCCGCGACCCTGCCATCTCGCTCAGGATCTGCTTGCAGGCTTACAGGTTTGCTTTCTGCCCAGGCCCCAGTGCCTAGGCCCCACTCCTTCTCCCTCTTCCAGCCACCTCCCAGCAAGTTGGAAATGTGCCTTGCACCCACAGCCGCAAGGAGCCCAGAACACATCTGTTTCCATCTATGTAACAAGCTTGGATCAGGGACCTAATTGGTTTCCCAGTGGTGGGTAATTTCTCTTTCCAAATATTAATCCGTTGTTTTCCTGGCGCCCAGCCCAGCCCGCCGTGGTACTGTACTCTTAAGTACGTTCCTATGCAACCAGGAGCCTGAGCAAATACTTTATGAGCTTTGCAGCTCGGGCACCTGAGCAACTATGCAAATGCGCTTTTCATTTGGAGCTCGGGGCTGATGCAAAGATAAGGAATTGTTTCTCCCAGAGAAGATCCATCATTTTTGTGGCTTCCAAGCCCCCAGCTTCTCTGCTCGCCTCCCAGATGTGGCAGGCATCTCCCGGACCGCTTCCGGGGGAAGTCTCGACTGATTCAAGCCAGCTCTTAGTGACCAAAGCCAGTGCTGTTGCTTTAAAAGAATCCAGCTTTCCATTCCTGCCGAAGGCATTGGTAGGGTCAGATTTGTCAGGGAAATTGCATAAACACTACACACACTCGCTCCCGGAATCTGAGCTGATGTTTATGATAATTGTATGTACCGTGCAATTTAGGAGGGAAAAAAGGTTGTACAGGCATTCACTCTAAAATAAATTTATATTTTTTTCTCTCGCAAAATCAATAAAAGATGTTATTAAGAATACAGTCTGCCGCGCTGGATTTGGGGTCAGAAGGGAGGGAGCACTTGCTGCCTGTAAAAACTGAGAGATCACTTGCTGCTGGCCGAGTGGTCCGGGCAAGCCCACTCTGAGCCCCCTTTCCCCTCTGCAAATGGGGTTATGACTGGACCTGCCGCCCTGGCGGGTTGCCGTGCTGCATCAGACTGATAATAATAGCCATTCCTCAGGGAGGGGTCGTGACACGCCTGGCGCTGTTTCAAGCACTGACCCATTGAATCCACTTAACAACCATATGAGGTAGGTACTATTATTTTCCACATTTTACAGATAAGGGAGCTGAGGCACAGAGAAGTTGAGGAGCTTGCTAAAATCACACAGCTCTGGAAAGTTTTAATCAATGCACAAATCCTCGGAAAGCCCTGGGGGGGACACGATCCTATGGGCTTTGGCCCTGGAGTTTTCCCAGATGCCTATTCCCGGCTCTCTTCCCTGCTGTTACCCATGCCCCTGCTCCCTCCAGGGTGCTTGTTGGCATCTCTTGGCTTCTGGACAGAGCAGCCCTTGGGGGTAGGGATGTGCTGAGCTGCAACTGAGGTGCAAGTGAAGCCTGAGCATTCTGCTCAGTCAGAAGGCACTTTCGAAACCGCCCACCCTCCAGCTGTGCAGTGAGAGGAGCAGGGAGCCCAGTGCCCGCCTGGAGAGGCCCAGCCCAGTATTCAGGGAATGGTCTCTGGGCTGCCTGCTGCTCTGGTGATGAGAAGCCGTCCCCGCAGCCCCTGCAGCCCGGAACCCTCCAGGGCAGGTGAGCCCGTTACAGCATTGAAGCTTGTGTCACGGGAGGGGCGTGGGGATTCTCCTGACATCTCGGCCTTGATCAGCCTTTCCAGCCACCAGCCAGAGCCCTGGGCCTGGGTCCCCATTATTCCAGGGTCACAAGCTTAGTGCCCACAGGGACCAGGCAAGTGGTGTCAGGGAGCAAAGCTGGCCTTTAAGGACTGGAGCCCATGAGGCAGCACAGGCCCCTTCTAAGAGGACAGTTGCAGCTCAGCTTCAGTGGCCCCAGGATGCCAGGTCCGTGAGGTTTTTTGGAGAAGGTGGAAACCAGGAGTTCTATTTTCTAATATGAAATCTAACTTTTAACTGTTGGCTCAAAAACCCATTGCCATGAAGTCGATTCCAACTCATAGCGACCCTATAAGACAGAGTAGAACTGCTCATTTAGGATTTCCAAGGCTGTAATCTTATGGAAACAGACTGCCACATCTTTCTTCCGCAGAGCAGCTGCTGGGTTCGAACTGCCAGCCTTTTACTTAGCAGCCGAGCGCTTAACCACTGTGCCACCAAATAAAATCTGTCTGCATGTAGGCTTTGGCCAGTTTACAAGTCTGGCCATAGCCAACCCTCCACCCCAATTCCCCACCCCTACCAGCTTCAGCCAGAAGAACAAACAAATCTGTCTTGGAAGAAGTACAACTAGAATGGTCCTTAGAAGCAAGGATGCGAGACTTTGTCTCACATACTTTGGACATGGTATCAGGAGGGACCAGTCCCTGGAGAAGGATCTCATGCTTGGTAAAGTAGTGGGTCAGCAAAAAAGAGGAAGACCCTCAGTGAGATGGATTGACAGAGTGGCTGCAACCTAGGCTCAAGCATAACGATTGTGAGCATGGCGCAGGACCAGGCAGTGTTTCCTTCTGTTGTACATGGGGCCACTGTAAGTCGGAACCGACTACAACACAACAGCCAGCCTCAGCAATGAATACCAGCCCTCCTAGGTCCTGAGTCTACTCTCCCTCCCTGCCCCCACCCCCCGCCGGCTGCAATCCCCAATCCCAGGCTGGATGAATGCCCAGGGCTGCTCCCTTCTTGCCCTCCTTCCGTCTCCTGGGAGGGAAAGGAGGGAAAGAGTCATATCTTACCCCTGAGCGCCCACCCCTCTGTCCTGCTATGGGCAGAAATGTAGGTGGCCTTCTTCATCCTGGGGTGAACAGTGGCATTCCCCCTTCCATGTCCTGCTTCTCTTCCTGCACCCCACCATCCCCCCAGCTCACAAACACACACACACACACACACACACACACACACACACACACACACAGAACTCACTGCCGTCAAGTTGATTCCAACTCAGCGATCCTGTAGGACAGAGTAGAACCACCCCATAAGGTTTCCAAGGAGCAGCTGGTGGATTCGAACTGCTGACCTTTTGGTAGCAGCTGAGCTCTTAACCACTGTGCTGCCAGGGCTCCGCACACTGGGGTGTAAATCACACAAGGCTGCAGCTGTCAGGGGCCTGGGGGCTGGTAGGCACCCGGGTATGGGTTACTAGAAATGAGTCTTGGCCACAGCTGACAAGAGGGCTAAGGAAGAGCAGGCGCCAGCTCCTGGAGGCTCTCCCCCACGCCCCCAGGCTCTTCCTTCTCTATCCAGCAGTGGGAAGGACGGCTTCCCTTTATTCAGGGTTGGCTGGTTTGTTCCGGCACAGGCACCACCACCTCAGAGGGTCCCTGGAGCCTGCCCTACCCCGAGGACATTTGCTGAGATGCCCTGGTCCCTCACCTCCAGCCCCTTTTGAAGCCCCAGGCCCTGCCTGGCCTCTGGGTGAAACGACAGATCACAGCCTTGTGGCTCAGTCTACTCAGGATAGGCTGGCTGCGTTGGTCTAGACAATGTTTAATTTTTAAAAACTAGTTGCCTTAGTTTAAATATCAGATTTCACATTAAAATTCAGATTCCTTGCTTCTCTGGAAGAATGGGGAAGATTTGGCCACTCTGGTCACACATTCCTGAATGGCACCCAGAGCCTGGGCAGGTGCTCTCCAGATTGCCACAGTCCCCACCATCCCCTTTTGCCTCCCACTAAGCCTGCTTCCTTCACTTACTTTACCTTCTCAGCCCCATGGGCATCTGAGTTCGTAGCCCTGGAGACAGAGACAGGCAGTGAGTCTGGAGGAGCAGGAGGGGTGCGGTGACAGTCTGTGGCGCCCCTCAGAACCAGGCCACTGCTGCCTGGATACAAAGATGGCTCTCCCAGGCCCTGGGACGCAAGCCTCTAACATCCAGCCAGCCAACAGGGCGATAAGGCAGGAGTGGGGAGAGGGAGGCAGGAGGGGACTGTGGAGGCAAGAAGGGGTGAGGCTGTGTCCAGCAAGTCCTCATGTGTCCCCATGTGCCCATGGGGGTGTCTACTGACTGTGCAAGCCTGTCCCTGGATCTCTGTGTGTAGCTAGGTCCCCTGACTACATTCGAGAGCCATGGTGACGCAGTTTCCAGTTTCC